GGAGAGCGTTCGGGGGTCCTTCATGGGCGCGGCTTCTCCTCAGTCGCTCTTTGGCTTGAAGGCGGCCGTTTCGTGGGGGAACAAGGCGGTACTAGCGATTCCGTCAAAGTATTTGTATTGCGTCTAAGCACCCCTTCAAAGGAGTACCCACCTGGTTGGACCGATTAGCTCCTCGGTGACCGGCTGCGTTACACTCGATACCACGTCACTGAAACAAACTAGACGGTACTTTCATGACGAATCGGGCTCGAAAAACATCTCCTTGCACACAACTCGGCCGGTGTGCAAAAGCCGCCATCTCCGACACAGGACCCTAAGGAAGTCACATGTGTGACCGCCGCTGGCGTCATCAACTCTAAGTCATGCTTATTTTCTTCAGAGTAAGGTTTGGCGAGGGAGGCGGTCACTGTCGGGCAGCAGATACTTTTTCAGTTTGCGGACGCTCACACTATTACCCCCAGTCAAAAAGGAAATTGGTGTCGGGCGGCTGCAACTCTGGTTCAGAAAAAGTGAACTGATTTGTAGCCGCCCGATTAGTAGTCCTTCTAGCTAGTCATCAACACCACATAGGCACACCACCTGTGCACCCGACACTTCGGTCCACCACCTCATCTTGGATGAGTGGCTCTCCGGATTCCTGTCCGTCAGTCTCCCTTATGGTCGCTCCCTGTTACTCATACTCTCCGTTCTGTAGAATCTTTCATTCCCTGTCTGGGAGGTGGGCGGATGGGTTTCAAAGTTCAAAGCGAAGCCACCACCTCTCCCCCCCACCCGCCAGCGGAAAGGCGTTGATTGGGGGCAGGGGGACCATTTTGGAATGTGGGGACCAATTTGGAATTGGGGACCAATTTTGGAATATGGGGCCAATTTTGGAATGTGGGGACCATTTTGGAATATGGGGACCAATTTGAATGTGGGGACAATTTGAATGTGGGGACCAATTTTGGAATGTGGGGACCAATTTTGGAATGGCGGGACTGGAGGATGCTGCTTCCACGCTTCCACACAGTCAAGCTAAGCGCTAGTGCAGGTTGAAAGGATCTAAAGGTGTTGCCCCATGTTCGAGGGACAAGAAGATGGGGGAGACTTGGAGGGGCCCTCGCTACAATGATTCTTGCCAAAATTACACTTCGAGTCTTGCAAATTATTTAACATCATCCTTGAAGAACGGCTGAAGAGTCTTGGTTGAGCTATCTAAAGCTTTAACGGCTTCTTCCCATCTTAATTAAAATCAAAATCAAGAAGCTTCTGTTTCAAAAAGAAGCACGCTTTTTCCGTGCTCGGCATCAAGGCATTTATCGCTGTTGCGGCGTGTTGCATCGTGTTGCAGCGTGTTGCAAGGGTACAGTTTTACTATACAAACGCCACCCCGATTTTTCATCCAAGCTCAATGACGTTGCACATTGGTTGCAACGTGTTGCAAATGTACAGTTTTTGTACCAAACTAGCCAGTACGTTTCCTTTCGCCCTCCTTTTGATTTATTTTGAGTTTTGAGAGGGTTTGAGAAATCTCTCCTCGACCAACGAAACAAATAACTCATAACTCATTTGACGAAGACCAGCAAAAGGCCACCATGACGGCCATGTCTCCAGCGACAGCATGTAAACGCCGTAGCTCTACTATTCACCATGACGCCTCCTCGAAAGCCGCCGCCGCCTCCTTCGAACGCCAAGCGACCTCCGACGCCTCCAAACGATCCACCTCCTCGCAATGCCGCGTCCTCCAAGTGGCATCTCTAGACCTCTTCCGCCACCTCATCCTTCTGTGACGGTCATGTCTCCTGGGGCAGCATGTAAACGCCGTAGCTCTATTGGGGATATAGCCGATTATGGTTTCTCTCGCCCGCGTTCCTTGTGGTGTGCAACATACGCTGAGTACTGTAACAACTCTCTTCTGGCGGTTCCTCCTCGCTCTCGAATTGGTCAGTACGGTATACAAGCCAATCCCTTTGATTCCTCCTGCTCTCGCACTACCGCCTCGGAGAGGAGAGGGCAACGTTTGCTTCGCAGTTCCGTCAAGTGGCTCGACTCGACTGTTGGCGTCCTTCAATCTCTTTCGACCGTTGGTTCGTGAATCGGTGGCTTTTGGTCTCCCTGGTTTGGCTGCTCCTTTTGGTTGGCTCCCTCTTGGCCCTGTTCCTTTTAGCAAGGTCCCTGATTGGTGGATGGTTGCACTTGTCTCATTGTCCCTTGGATCTGAAGGTCTTCAAGGCACCTCGTTGAGGTCTTCCAAAAGATGTTGATGATACTGGTTCAATCCAACCTTGTCCTGTTGGCTTTTGGCTATGTCCCTGTTGGCTATTCCTTTTGGTTGTGTCCCTGTTCCTGGCTGCCCTGGTTCCTTGTCCCTGTTCCTGGCTGCCTGATCCTGTTGCCTTTTTGGCTGTCCCTGTTGGCTCCTCTTGGACCTTTTTCCTTTTGGCAAGGTCCCTGATTGGTGGATGGTTGCACTTGTCTCATTGTCCCCCTTGGATCTGAAGTCTTCAAGGCACCTCTTGAGGTCTTCCAAAAGATGTTGATGATACTGGTTCAATCCAACCTTGTCCTGTTGGCTTTTTGGCTATGTCCCTGTTGGCTATTCCTTTTGGTTGTGTCCCTGTTCCTGGTTGCCCCTGGTTCCTGTGTCCCTGTTCCTGGCTGCCTGATCCTGTTGGCTCCCTTTTAGGGCCCTAGTCCCTGTTGGCTCCTCTTGGCCCTGTTCCTTTTGGCAAGGTCCCTGATTGGTGGATGGTTGCACTTGTCTCATTGTCCCCTTGGATCTGAAGTCTTCAAGGCACCTCGTTGAGGGTCTTCCAAAAGATGTTGATGATACTGGTTCAATCCAACCTTGTCCTGTTGGCTTTTTGGCTATGTCCCTGTTGGCTATTCCTTTGGTTGTGTCCCTGTTCCTGCTGCCCTGGTTCCTGTGTCCCTGTTCCTGCTGCCTGATCCCGTTGGCTCCCTCTTGGCCCACTCTTGGCCCTGTTCCTTTTGGCAAGTCCCTGATTGGTGGATGGTTGCACTTGTCTCATTGTCCCCCTTTGATCTGAAGGTCTTCAAGGCACCTCGTTGAGGGTCTTCCAAAAGATGTTGATGATACTGGTTCAATCCAACCTTGTCCTGTTGGCTTTTGGCTATGTCCTGTTGGCTATTCCTTTTGTTGTGTCCCTGTTCCTGTTGCCCCTGGTTCCTGTGTCCCTGTTCCTGCTGCCTGATCCTGTTGGCTCCCTGCCCTAGTCCCTGTTGGCTCCTCTTGCCCTGTTCCTTTTGGCAAGGTCCCTGATTGGTGGATGGTTGCACTTGTCTCATTGTCCCCCTTGGATCTGAAGGTCTTCAAGGCACCTCGTTGAGGGTCTTCCAAAAGATGTTGATGATACTGTTCAATCCAACCTTGTCCTGTTGGCTTTTGGCTATGTCCCTGTTGGCTATTCCTTTTGGTTGTGTCCCTGTTCCTGGCTGCCCTGGTTCCTGTGTCCCTGTTCCTGCTGCCTGATCCCGTTGGCTCCCTCTTGGCCCTAGTCCCTGTTGGCTCCCTCTTGGCCCTGTTCCTTTTGGCAAGGTCCCTGATTGGTGGTGGTTGACTTGTCTCATTGTCCCCTTGATCTGAAGGTCTTCAAGGCACCTCGTTGAGGTCTTCCAAAAGATGTTGATGATACTGGTTCAATCCAACCTTGTCTTTTTGGCTATGTCCCTGTTGGCTATTCCTTTTGGTTGTGTCCCTGTTCCTGGCTGCCCCTGGTTCCTGTGTCCCTGTTCCTGCTGCCTGACCCTGTTGGCTCCCTTTTTGGCCCTAGTCCCTGTTGGCTCCCTCTTGGCCCTGTTCCTTTTGGCAAGGTCCCTGATTGGTGGATGTTGCACTTGTCTCATTGTCCCTTGGATCTGAAGGTCTTCAAGGCACCTCGTTGAGGGTCTTCCAAAAGATGTTGATGATACTGGTTCAATCCAACCTTGTCCTTGGCTTTTGGCTATGTCTGTTGGCTATTCCTTTGTTGTGTCTGTTCCTGGCTGCCCTGGTTCCTGTGTCCCTGTTCCTGGCTGCCTGATCCTGTTGGCTCCCTTTTGCCTAGTCCCTGTTGGCTCCATCTTGGCCCTGTTCCTTTTGTGGCAAGGTCCCTGATTGGTGGATGGTTGCACTTGTCTCATTGCCCCTTGGATCTGAAGTTCTTCAAGGCACCTCTTTGAGGAGTCTTCCAAAAGATGTTTGATGATCCTGGTTCAATCCAACCTTGTCCTGTTGGCTTTTTGGCTATGTCCCTGTTGGCTATTCCTTTTGGTTGTGTCCCTGTTCCTGGCTGCCCCTGGTTCCTGTGGCCCTGTTCCTGACTGCCTGATCCTGTTGGCTCCCTCTTGGCCCCCTGCTGGTGACATTAGTAGTTCTTTGCTCTAACGAGCCAGCACTTGGGAAGCATTTTGAGTGGCCACAGCATTTTGTCTAGTTTGTTTCAGTCGAGTACTTCACTCTCCTTTCTTTTCTCTGCTTTTTTGGCAGGAGGAGCCTTCACTCCTGAGCTTTGCTGGAGACCTTCGTCGGTTGAAAGTCTGAAGTTGCAACACCAACAAACCACGCATTTCAGCCTAGCTAGAGCTGTTGACTTTCCCGCTTGGCTCTGCTGACTGGCCCTCTTGGTTGATGCGGTTGGGCTGTCCCAGTTGGCTGTTTCTGTTGGTTGTGTGGCTGTGGCTGCCCCTGTTGGTTGACCCTGTACGTCTCAGCCAAGACTTGTTGGTGGTTCCTCTTCTGGCTGCTGTCCCTGTTGGTCTTGTGGAGTCAAGTGTGTTGGTGCTTCCCCTTCTTGCTTGGGTCTGACCCAGGGGACTCTTCTGCACTTCAAACCGTAGCACGTTGTTGGTGGGCTCGAGAGACAGCCAGCTAGCTAGCTGGCGGGCAACTTTGGAGCAGAGAAAAGGAGAAGAACTCGGGTTTAGCTAGCGTTGTTGTTACTGTTATCGGTTTTAGTTGTACTAGCTAGATCAAGCCAACAGCCTCGCTTTGTGTCAGCCGGTTTCATGACATCTCCCTGGCCAGAGATGCTGCGTCATCTCCAGCATCGATAGGAATGATCCAAAAGCTGTACTTGTATTCCTTCTCTGATTTGACAAGGTAGTCGTCGTACACGCAAGGGAACCAGCTGTGCAACCGCAATTAAAGCAGACAAACGGCAGCCCCGGCAGAGTAGTGTTGTAAGACGTCAACCGATTAGGGACAGTGCGAGGAGTTCCATCATCACACCAGACTCGTTTGGACTCACCTTACATCTCCTCCTACTCCCATCAGCCTGTGATCAAGATTCACTCTAATGGGGTGTTCACCATTGTCACGATGCTCCAAGTCGCAGGTATGCTTGGCCTGGTCCAGTTCAGAAGAACCGTGCAGAAGCGCACTAAAATGGAAGGAAGATCGACTTCCTTTCTCGTCTCGCCCGTGGGAAGCAAAACAGACGCCTTCGCCGTTGGAGGCATTGGTGAAGGTTACCCACTCGCAATCCGACCGATTGCCATTTTCAACCGGATATATGTAGTGATACGCCATGTCCTTTGGGGTAGTCTCGTGAACTCCAATTTGAGATGCTGCCTTGCGGTCGTCGTAGTTCTCAAAAGGACCCCGCCCAAAGTACTTGATTCTGTAGAGCGATTTGTCCAGTGACAGTGACATGCCCACACGAGGCAGCGAATGACACTCTGACAAGCAGGGGCGTGGGATCACTTTGGTCGAAACCAGAACCCGTCCGTCCATGTAGATGTGGTAGATAAGCTTTTGTCGTACCAGCTCCTTCTTCGTGTTGTCGCCTTTGGTGATGCTTACAATAGCCTCAACGTCAACTTTGTGCTTGTCCGTCGTTTCGATAACCTGGGTACCTTTGCATTCAGGCCGAGGCGGTCTCGCCTGATCCAACCCAGCCATCTTCCAACGAAAGTAATAGGAAAAGGTTGCAATGCCGTACACCCTTGTCCATAATTCTTCCAGACCACTATCTGGGTACAGAAACGAAAGCATCAGTTCCATTCCACCCCGATCGTTGTCCGTCGCAGCTCTTGTGTATTGCGGTACCAAGCTCTGATTTGGCGACAGCAGATTGTTGTTATTCCGAGACATGATCGACAAGATTGCCCCCGTCTTCTTGCAGATATCGACGTGCGGTGCTTTAGTTGTTGCACCAACTTGCCGAAATACGGTGATCTTGTCGTCATCTTGCGACACGGACAAGGTTGCACTCTGTCCAACTGGATCAAATACCCAGCTTTTCTTTACTGTCATGGTCTCCTTGTCAAAGAAGAACTCGACCGGAAACTGCTCCGTGACTAGCTCATGGCCAGCCTCGGCCCAGACGGTAGCGTTGCGGAGCGCACCGGTGACAGTCAGAAAGTAGGAATTGCCTCGCTTGGTACTTTTGGTCTTTTCGAGGTTGCGGATGCTTTCAAGGGCACGGTCCAGACTGATGCTGACACTTTCTCGTTCTTCATCGCCCAGTAGATTGATGGTACCCGACGCCACATCTGCGGTCGAACGATTGCTGGTCAGTTTCCAGCTCCACTCTAGATGCGATAAATCCCGAAAAGCATAGCGGTTCTTGAACTTGAGAGTAATCTCGCCGGCAGACGTTTTCGAGACGGCAATGCGGATTGTTTTGTCAATTGTTGGTACTGGGAGCGATATTTCGACGGGTTGCATCAAGTACTTGAGTTCTGCAACAGCTGGATGCGGTTTTCGGTCTGGGGAGAAAATACCCTGTTCAGGAACGAAAGGCGTGAGTTCAGGCCACAACGATGTAAGCCATGTCACGGCGGCATACGTACATTGATACAGAATTGACGATCGTGTATTGCTTCTCCAAAGTCTCCTCCATAGGCAAAGTAGAATCCTTTGCCGTTCTTGGTATCAGGCTGGCGAATACCTTGATCAATCATATCCCAGATGTACCCACCCTGCAGCCTTGGGTACTCGTCATCCCAAAAGTACCTCCAGTACCAGCTCAGGTTGCCATTGGAATTGCCCATGGAGTGGCTGAAAGGCATTGCGGGGATGAGATAACATCGCGTGAGACGGAACGAAGAGACAGTCTGCATGCCTGCAAGAAGTACACGTACCTGTATTCACACAAGATGATCGGTCGTTCATCGTGTTCAATTTTGGTCAGACCCACCGTTCGGGCGACATTGGGATACATGGGACAAATGACATCGGTCAATTCGCTCAGCCCGGTTCCTTCCACCATTGCTCCCCCACCCTCGTAACAGATGGGTCGAGAGGAATCGATTTGAAGTAATTCTTTGCGTGCCTTCCAGAGGTTCCTTCCTCGTCCCGACTCGTTTCCCAAGGACCAGAAAATGACAGAGGCATGATTGCGATCTCGTTGTACCAATCGCGTAATGCGCGAGACGTAGGTATTCTCCCATCCCGTGGCATCATGCGTTAGATTTCCCATGGGTTTGAATCCATGTGTTTCAATGTTGGCTTCATCACAAACATACATGCCATAGTAATCACAGTAGCGATAAAAGGCCGAATCGTTGGGGTAGTGACTGGTTCGAATGGCATTAAAGTTGTTGCGTCTTTTTGAAAACACAAACAGTTGAATGAGAAAGCAAGGTTGTGAGAGACGCCATTGTCAGGCATACCATGTTACTTCAGTCCTTTTAGCAACAACACTCACTTGAGAATTTCGATATCCAATTTCATGCTCTCATGGGAGACGACCTTTCCATGATCTGGATCATGTTCGTGTCGATTGACACCACAAATGGTGATTTTCTTGCCATTGACCAATACGAGTCCGTTTTCAATTTCCACCGTTCGAAATCCAACCCGACAGGATTCCACCTGTAGTACTTTGTCTTGGCCATTACCTGGACTGTCGTTTTCTTCCAGTGTCACGGTGAGTGTGTAGAGATGAGGTGTTTCGGCCGTCCACAGTTGCGGTTGAGCGAGTTTGCCTCCCAATTCGATCATCATCGCTCCTTCCGTTTGGACCACTGGTTTGGATCCCGTCCACACCAAGGGCCCCGGTTTCCATTCGCTGCCATCCGGTGTCAGTTGTTGGTCTTGATAGAGTCGTGCCACAATTCTTGCTGTTGTTTGGTTCGAATTATTGTTAGCGTCACATGACAATTGCACGGCCACTTTGAATCGTCCATTGGCATCGGCGTGCACGTGATAATCCATCATGTTGGCGCCTTGTGGTCGTCGTACAATTTCGACGGATCGATGAATGCCGGCCATCCACCAATGATCTTGATCTTCGACGTAGGTTCCATCGGACCATCGAATGACGACCAACGTGAGAGTATTGTTGTGAGAGCGCAGTGCTGGTGTAATGTCAAATTCGGCCGGCAATCGCGAATCCTTGGTGAAACCAATTTGTTGGTCATTGAGAAAGACATAACAGGCCGATTCCATGCCATGCAAGAGCAGCGCAAACGAGGATGCATCCTTACTGGAATTTCCCGTATCGTGTAACCACGTGTCGGGCATGTCAAAGTTTCGTTGGTAGACACCCGTTGGATTTTTGTGTGGTACAATGGGTGGATTGCAGGGAATGGGGTATACCTGATTGGTGTAAATGCACTGATCGTAGCCTCGCATCATCCAATTGGACGGCACGTCCATGGGCTTCCAATGATTACTATTATTTTGTTGTGTTGACGACTGTACCATTTCCAGTGCGTCCTCGACGGTATCTTTGAGTTGAAATTTCCAGGGAGTGGTTTCGGGATTGCGGTCGTCCAGTTTCCAAATGTTGGGGGCCAGTTGGGATTCTTCATCTTTGTTAGTAGTGCTTTCGGTAGTAGTTGTGGTCATGGCGACCAATTGTGGCAAACAGGCGGCTCTTCGAGCATTTGCTTCTGATGCAAACAACCGCAACGGCACATGCATGGGCAATCGTTTCAAGGCAGGAGTAGTGGGATCCATCCACGGTTTGTCGTAGGCGTAAAAGACGCGTCGATTGCGGTAGACCATGCCAACGACGGCAAGGATGGCCAGAAATGCTTGGTAGGAAGGAAATGTATGGGCAGCAAATGCCAGCAATACCACACTGCCTAGCCCAATTTGCAGAATGCGATTTCGGGTATTGACGGGCGATACGAGATTGACCAAATCACTGAGAATCAAGTCATTGAGTGGTGTGAGAAAATCGGGCGTGGCCAAATCGCCGCGGCCACGACGACTCGTTGCCAAGACTTGAGCAATTTCCTCGAGGACATCTTCTAGGAAATGTTCCGTCTTGGCGGCTACTTGGTGCGGCAATACCATGTCGGCCAAATCGCCCATGGAAGGATGATGATGATGATGCGATGGAAACATGGCATTGGTGGCCAAGCCGTACTTGATTTCGGATTCTTCCTGTGGAACACTCATGTGATGCACATTGGCCGAGGCATCTTCGTTCTTGTCCGTCGTAATGTGAATCACATCATTGTCATTGTCATCGTCTGTACCAGTATCTGTGGGCAAGACATCCGGCACCTTTTTCTCCACCGTTTCCACAAGGTCCTCGGGTTGGGCGTCCGCCATTATTTTGCTAGTAGAGTAGATATACCTATATCTAGCTAGCTACCGTAGCTAGTTCTATAGATTCGTCCTTTTGCCTCTCTTGTGTCAAGTCAAGTCAAGTCAAGTCAGCAATGCAATACACAGTGATGACCAGCTACCGGTACCGTACTAGTACTGACCAGTGCTATGATCTGGAATAATAGAAGAAGCAAGATAGGATACCAATTATTCTCTTTGGCAAAGGGTATCTTTTCGGCTACAGAATTGGCGATCTTTCGTCGTTTGTCGGAAGCTTTTTGACTTCTGCCGAGCTCGAGAATTGAAGTGTCACCTCTAACCTTAAAAGTATTACGTCATTCAAGAATCTGGTCAGCCTTGCTGCTTTTAAAAAAAAATACCTGTCGATTGCTGACGTCGGACAGTTAGCTCGCGATAAGTACTGAAGCATACTATGTTCTTAAAGATGAGGTGACCGTATTTCCACCGACTGACACTCCGAGGATGTAGCCACGTCATGAGTGCGCGGAAGCAGATGGCAATCATTGCAACGTCTCACAAATCCATCGCGCATCGCATTGATTGACAGAAAGAAAAAGAGGAGTCTCTTGGAGGCAAGGCAATGATATGACAATATCCAAAAGACAAGGTCAACCATGAAGGATCCCAGTGTTCAATACATGTACCGAATAAAAAGTAGGAGAAGGAGAGATGGGCATGTGGCTGCTGCTAGTGCTAGTATTGGTTATTCCAGGAGAATGAAAACCCTGTCTTGGGTAGCATTGCTATTACTGGTTCAATTATTGGGGTTGATTCCTGCTACCGTTTATGGAGATCCTTTGTCATCAGATCATTCTGCCAATGGCAATTATAATAGAAGAAGCAGCAGTGTGTTAATACCTCCACCACCCCCGCCGCCCCCAAGCCACCAACCAACAACAACAACTACAGAAGATCAGATTCAAATTGTGGAGACGGAATATTGGAATGGCGAACGATGGATGGCGGCGCCTCAGAATCGCTGGACCACTCAAGACGGACAAGCCAGTATGTCACCCGCCGATGTTCAGCAGCCCCCCGATGGAGTCTTTGACGGGGCTTGGAAAATCATGTTGGGAGATGCTACCGATGATTACGGTTGGACCTACTTGTATCATCATGATTATTCGTCCATTTCCCACCAATTTCCAAAACGACAACGCATTTGGTTGCGGACGGTCCTTCGACAGCCACAACAACCACCACAACAACAATACACAAAACAACGCTTTTGGAAATCACCCGTATGGTCCAGAACAAGACGTCCCACACCCTTATCACTACCCCGAATACAACCGTACCATCAACTATTACTACCCCAACTGGAAACAGCCCTGCGACAAGTTCCCACCACCTGCTTGCACGTACAGTCACTTTTACACACGGCACTCCGCAACATGCAAGACGATTGGAACTTTAAAGGATTTGGATTCTCCTTTTACAAATCGTTTCTATTCAAAACCAGCTTTGGCTTGGCCTTTCGCGTTCCCCTCACCACCAACTTTGATGTATGGGAACGACATCCCGAATGGCCCCGATTGACCATGAGTGTTGGATTCTATTATCCATTCACCATGACACTCAATGTGGGCGGAAGTGTCAATGTCGAATATCTCAAATGGATTGCTCTGCAAGCATTACTTACGGCACGGCATGTCATTGCCGTCACACTGCTCTTGTTGGCGAGAGGATTCGTCTTGGCCGGATCCGCATTGGCATTTCCCATGACACGACAATGGCACGAATTGCCCGAACCGCACTTGTTGTTGCCCAAACTCCGCGATACTCTCGCGCGTCCCGTCAAACCCAACTTTTCCGGAACACTCCAAGAACGAGTTGGTGTCAGTTATAGTTGGAGACTGTCGGCCAAACGAGGCTACGAAACGCGACGGACGTGCTGGCATCTCTATTTGCCGACATTGCTGAGTGTATTGCAACATTTGGATCGCATTCAACAATCCATTCAGATTTTTGTATGGCAACGACGATTGGAACCGCATTGGAACAAGTACGGAAGAGACTATTATCATTCCAGTAGTCGCTATTTGGCAGGCTTTGTCCCGGCGGCTATTAAAAAGCGGAAGCGAAGCACGGCCACCAAACAACAAAAGAAGAAAAAGAAAAAGACGCTGCCCCAAGAACAGCAAGCCACTACGGACGAATTCCGACCCGTGTCTCTGTTCGACGAATCCGCACCGTGGGCTGAATGGTGGTTGCAACGACATACGGGATGTTTGGGTGTATCCACGGGAGGTCCCATTCCCTACCCTCCACATTTCTCCTGTAGTGCCGTGCTTTCTCTTTCTGGATTCTACTTTTCACCCGATACCATTCGTGGCAGCAACAACAATAATTTGCCGATAGTTGTGGAAGAGGATGAGGAGGAATCAACAAAGGAAGAAGTGTCGGAAGCATCCGACGTAGATGAGGAGGAGGCGTCCAGGGTACCACCGCCGCCACCGCTGCCACAAAAGGTTCAGGCGAATGCGACTCAGTCTCTACAGATTGCGTCGACTGCATCATCGTCAAAGTCTTCATCGAGAAAGACAACCTCTAGTGCTTAGACAGTTTGCGTTGGACTGGTGTGGGGCGAGAAAACGGTGCTTATGGAAAGATGCGGCACTGACGAGGCAATGATGAAACACATGCTAGCTATCTATTGCACAAACAAAATTTGCACGATTTAGAGAAAGGCAGATAAACTTGCAGCTTTTGCTGCTGTCCGTAAATAGAATCATATAATCAATACTTGAATACGAACGAGTGGATCTTCACTGCCAGAGGATGCTTTGAGCCCGCCAAAGGTCGCTTGGGGACCAGCTAGGGTCCCCCATCTTTATCGGTGACCACAAATGTTGCAAAATGGTATGAGTAGTTGCTTGGAGTTGTCAACGAAGGCAAAACATCACGGCTACAAGTTTGACAAGATCAATGAAGCAAATGAGATTGCAAGGAGCATGGTCCACAAAGTCTGAAGTTTGGAAGTTAGCTACAGAAACCCCATTTGTTCCTAAAGTAAAGATTAATCTTCGCTGCCTGGCTGATTGTGGTTTCGCCTCAGTGATATCTACGGCTCCTCGATTGCAGGAAACATTCTACGGTCGTTCCAAAGGAGCGCTTCCAGCAGTGTCACGGTTTGGGAGTTTCCAAGCCATTGCTTGCGCTTGTTGTCTTGAACGACTCGTAACCGGCTCCTGTTTTCACCGCAGCCCTTCAAGGAAACAAGGCAACCACTGTTCTCGAAATCGTGTCCATCGATACGCTCCAAGATTGCGTCCACTGCTGTGTATTTCGTCACGCCTTCGGTGCCGATCTCGGCATCGTTGTAGCCCACGGCTCTTTCCATTTCCAGAGGCGTAAGCTCTGCGTTACGTGGAACCCGTCCGTTGCGCAACTCCCACACAGGTGCATTGGAGCACCGGTCCTCGGATCTCACAAAGCAATCAAATTTCTTGGTTGCTGGGTGCACTCTCCGATTGGGATCCTGAAGGACTGACCCTGCACTATACTCCGGCAAGTCTCCGTTAAGACTTGGCGGTAAAGCATTTTCCCAATCCCGAGCCTGCCTTTGATTTGCCAAGGCATCCGGACAGCATTCAACGGGAGGTCGTTGAGTGCAAAATCGACGCAGCCTCTCGGACGGGGAACACATGGATCCACATGCCTCAAAGCTCGGGTGGAGGACGTTCTTGGACTCTTCTGTGGAGTGCAAATTTTCGGCTAGAACCATGGGTTTTTCACCGCTGGTTTCTTCTAGTAGGCCCAGTATGCTGTAAAGCAGGAGTCCTTTGTCGTTTCTATTCAAAAGCCCTTCCTTTCTTCCCAGCAGGTCCCAAGAATCACAAGGATTCGTAATGTGAACATTGTGGATTCCGCCAACTGCAACCTGCAATTGCTCGACAACGGTTTCATCAGCTAGAATATTGATATCCCCCGCACATTTGCTGGCAGCACCTTCCTCTTTTTTGTTTCGATTGCTTTTGTCGCCAATGACTATTGCAAAGTGGACGTCAGGGTACGCCGCAACGGCGCAGCCGACAGCTTCCATGTCTGTATCTTGAAGGATGATAACTCCCAAGGGAACACCCAACCTCTTGTAAGCTGCCACCTCCGGTGCAATGCCTCCACACAGGAGGAGTATGTTAGCATATGGCGACCCCTCTTTCATGACCAGAATCTGACGCTTCACGTCGTTTCGTGTCAAAAATGTCGCTTCTTTTGGTTTCCCATAGTCCGTAGCCAAGCGTTCGCGGAGTTCACGGCAACGCTCCTGCATTCTGTCCGCGACGTCTCGGCGAATCTTTTGGCCTTCTCGCCAATCTGGCTGCACAAGGCGACGTCTCAAGTCTCGTTGAAGAACTCTCGAGTTGTATTCCGTTGTCAACTCCTCGTGAGAACTGCTGGAGTGCGCATTGCGCCATTGTTCCAGCAAATAACCAGGAAGTTCTCTGAAAAATCCGGTTGTCTCTGCAAGAGTTCTTGTTGTATGGAACTGACCCGTTTCAAAGAAGCGATCCCAGCTAAAGGGTCCATCACTTGAACCACCAAGCAACTCTAACTTGGAAGCCTCCACCCATTCCACCTCTTGGCTATCGTCGTATTGGACTTTCACACGACACTCTTCCCCGGTGATTGTCAGCACAATCGCTTCCCTCGTCGTTCCAACACCGCCCTTGACTTGTACGGGCTGGAACGGTCGAAGAATGGGGGATTTGTTGTGGTAACAATTTTGCTTTCTTTGTTTGTTGGCATCGGCGAGCTCTGCTTGTCGTGCATACGACTTGACTCGCTGCCACAAGCAACAATCGCAATCACCATCCTCCAAACGAGCCGGGGGAAGCTGATTGTCCCGGTGTCCCACATGAGCATGGGGATTCTGTTGTGTTTCGTCGTCATCGTCTGGAGGAGTCACTGTGATGTACGTCTTTTCAGTGATATCATAGTATTGGAACTCCGAAGTGGCTGCACCGTTCTTTTGGTACCGCACAATCTCTCCCGCGAGCAAAAACAGACTTCCATTTTGCGCCTTGCAGAACTTGCCTCGTGCATAGCTCCTCACTACAGTATTTTGCTTTGTTTCTTCAGTATTATTAGGGGAAGCACGATTCTTCTCCACATGGACCATGAAGCGCGTTTCGAGTGGTTTCCTTGGACCTTTTTTTCTGGTGGGTGATGATGACATGTTGTTGTTGCTTTGTACTTGTTGCTCACTTTGATTTGTTGGTTGATGAATCTGACGTTGTTCCTTGTTTTTCCAAGTCGGTGCATTCTTCTTGGAAACACTTGTTTGAGATCCCCTGGGTGACAAGGTGATTCGTCTTGCTTGATCGTCAAGCTCTTGCGCTGGAGTTGTCTCCTCTATTGTTATAATAGAGACAGGCGGACCTTCCCACGTGGCATCATCCAGCCATTGCGGTTTTCTTCTGCGTCGTTTTCGGTCGTCGACCCTAGTGCATTGTTTGGAATCGACCCATTCCTCCTCTTCCACACCTGTAGTCCACTTGATCAAGAGCTTGTCATCGTTGTCGTCTTGGCGTGCGATATCAATCACCTTGGCAATGTAGTATCCCCTTTTGTGAGCCAACAAGGTGACAGTCTCCCCAATTTCAAACGTTCGATGCTGCTGGCTGGATGGCGACGTAACGTTTGTGCGAGCATTGTTGAATCGTTCTGACGCCCTGCATGTCCTCTTTGCTGCTGGGTTTGTAGTAGAAGCACCCGATGGAGATTGTTTCCTCTTTGCCATCATCCTTTGTTTCAGAAACAATGCCAATTCTTTGGAGACTTGCTGCTCCTTGTGGTTGTCGTGTACGGATGGAAGTTTGGAATCATCACAGGCTCCCACCAGATGATCCGGAGGCATCCAGACAGTTGCTGATGTTGGCATGCTGTGGTCGCCTTGCTGTAAAACTACAACGTGAACACCGCCCTTGTTGCTGGGAATGGATTGTATTTGACACCACGTCTTGTTGGCAGTATCATAACAGACTTGTCCCTCGCAAAGATCATGCCGTATCCGAAATTGTGCCGTACCAAAGGCTTCTTCCGAAAAGTCATAGGGAATTGTCTGGTACATGTACTCCACATCATCATTGGAAGCAGCAGTGCAACTTTTCAAAATATCTATGGTACCTCGATTATGACTAATGGAAGAAACGACACCCACTCGATGCAATACATGTACACCAGGCTGTGGTTGTTGAAATGAAACCAAATCTCCAACCTCGGGTCTTTCATACGGTCGATGGTCGCTCAGAGAAAAAGGCTGGGGCGTCATCTTGTGGTGGTCAGGGCGGCGCCAACCTGGACTACTAGTACTACCAGTACCGATACTATAAGAATATGCAGTAGCCCTTTCAGCCTTCCATGTTTGTAAGAAATCCTGAAACTCGTGTTCCTTGGCGGCTGGTTTTCCATCACTACTATTAATACTGGTAGTACATGTAGTACATGCAGTAGTGTCGGTGGTGGTGGTTGTGCCATCCCTCCCATGCCTGTTGTGCCGCGCTTGAAAGTCCTGACATCGCTGTAGGAGACTCCTGTATGCCGCTGTTTCGGCTGCTGCCATTGCCATGCCCTCTTCGTCTGCTTCTGTCATGATCTTTACCTACATGTACATGAACCTACCGACAAAGTCCGGTCCTTGCCTAACTATTAGATAGCTACCGGTTTACTATGGATTAGAGAGAGCTAAGAGGAGGACGGAGTCAGAGGTCAAGGGGGGCACGACGCAGGAACGCAAGGCAGGCAATCAAGGGCGCAAGCAGGGCAACATGGAAACCAAGGATAGGGGTGAAGGCAGGAGGGCAGGGAGGAGCAAAGGAGCAAGACTAGCGGAAGAGATCGAGGGCACCACAGTCATCCGGTACAGCACACTGCCTTCTTTCAGGTTTGTCGATGTCGAGGGAGAAAGTTTGAGGTTTCAGTCACGGATCAAGAGCTAGGGTCCGTACGGTATTCACGCCACGTCACCCTGCGCCCATCTGCTTGTCGTGTCCGATGCCGTGCCACCAGTACCGAATGGATCCCAACATCCCAACAGAGTGATTTCGAATGACAGTCTGGGTTGGTACCTGGTAGGTTGGACAGCACTATAGGACTGCACGAAATCCCCTTGAGCTCTGTCTCCATCCTCATCTTAGCTCTCTCTAATCCATAGTAAACCCGATTGCCACGAAATATGTCGTACTGTAGTTTAGCATAGCATAACATCGCTTCCCAGTTCCGCCACCCTCTACACATGACCTGCTTCTTGGGAAGGCACACCTCCCTTGTGCCCGCCATCTAGGCTGCGCCTTCAATGTCGCGGCAGACCGTTGTTCAGCATGTGCTCAGCCCAATTGCGTTGCGGTGATTGACCGCAATCTGCAAATACTTTGGTGGCTAGCTATAGAAGGACGACTGCATGGCCGAATATATATTCAAAATTTTAGAAAGTTCTAGCAACCTGCCTATGTTGCTTTGCTTCTTCAAGTTAGGCTTGCCTCGCTGAGTTTCTGGGGGAGTGTGTGCAGTTGTTTCGCAGTTAGTTGTGTGGCTGGTAGTTCAAGGCGGTATCGTTTGGGTCGTCCTTCGCGTCTACTAGCTTCTGTGCAATGGTTGGCTGGCTGGCTGGCCGACTGTCGTTTGTTGGTTCAAGGTGCCGAGTCTTCTTCTTGCTGTTTTTGTTGCATGTCTAGTACTGTGGGCATGGTCTTCATCAAGAGCATTCCGCATAATCCCACCGTCACTGCAACGGCGCTCCAAGCACCCGTCCAGCCAAAGTTCGGTAGCAGAACCTTGTTGAAGACTTTCCAAAGTGGCGATGTCATGAAGATGCCCGTTCCATCAATCAAGGACAACGCCACTGGCTTGACGGGTGCAAAGAAGACACTCGATACCATGTTGGGCACTTGAAAGTAGGGAAAGGCAATGGAACTGGCCATGATACTGGCACACAAGGTGATGACGGAAGCACTGGCATACGGATGCCACTGTTTTCCAAAGGCAGCAGACGCGACGAGCCCCAAAGCCGCGAACAGGTACCGTTTGTATCCATTGCTAATGAGAGAAAGTTTTCTTTCCCTTGTGACAGATTGTTGATTGAATTTGCGTGACGTCGTCACGAGCCCATGGAGAAAGCCCACGGTCATGAACGCGGTCAGTCCGCCACAGATTTGTGCTACAGGGAAAGTAAAAGACAGAACTCGGGTGAGCTACGATCCGGTAAAAATTGGAAAATTCAAGGGGAACGCGCACAACCGAATGCTTACGAGACAAGGATGTGATGTCCTGCAAGAATACCCCCAAGACACGATCGCTGGTTCGTGTCAAGTACCCCGAGATATGTGCCAACCCAATGGACCAAAAGATGGGATTGCTCAGGACTTTCATGGCTGCCTGTCTGGCACTGGTCTTGGCGGCGGCTGGCTGCTTGTCATGTACTTTCTTTCCCATCATTTTTGTTTGATCTCCTTGTGGCGAGGTTTTTGTGTTGTTCTCCTCCTCGGCGACATTCATTTTACTTCCCAACGCCTTGCGCATATTCCGACTGGTCCACAGACTGGTGGCCAATCCAGCCATGGCGACCATCACACCCATGCGAGCGACGTGCCTCCAATGCATAAATTGCAAGAGTCCCGCCGCGGCCACTTTGGCAACGATTTGTCCGACGGTACTGGAGAGTGCCAAGATGGTGACGCCCCGGGCAAACAAGGCCGGCGATTGTCGATAATATTGACTCAGAAAGAGACTGCAAACGGTCCATTGAATCGAAGCAAAGAATTCAATGCCACCGACCATCCATCCCAAATTGGAGGTGGTGAGCAAACCGGAACTGGTTGGTGCCAAGGAGATGCATGCCAGTGCCAGGGACGCGAGAATGGAGCCGGTAAAGTACACGCGGCTGGAGCGTGGTCCTCCCATTTCTTGACAGACCATGCCGTTGAGCAATTTGCCAATACCGTTGCCCATGGGTGCCGTGGAGGCCATTAAGGCCGCCAAGGAGGCACCTCGAACTGCCGCAATGTTCCGGACGGCGAGTTCGGCATCCATCATGGGGACAATCATGACGGGCAAGGTCATGGTGATAATGGCGCAAAAGTGAATGAAAAAGGCGCCAACGTCAATGCTGGACAAGGGCACGTTGGCAGTGCTGGTTGTCGTTGCTGTGGTTGCATCAGAAGCAGGAGGAGACTGAACGGGAGAAACGTCCTTGAGAGTGGCAATAGTATCCGCTTGGTTTGGCAACAAGGCTTCTTGGGCTCCTCCTGCAATGGTGGTAACGTTGGAGGGAACAACCAAGCGAGACTTGGCGCGGCGAATGGCACTTGCCATGGGATCCCTATCCACTAGCAACCCAGGACTGGTGGCCACCTGCAAGGGGGACTGGACCCGAAAGGCTTTGCCTTTGCGTTTGGACACGACATCTTGTCCCAAACGATTGATGCTGCTACTGCTGCTCGATACAGCAAAGCAAGCAGCATGATTGGCATGCAGCGTAAGCAAGGCAGCCAAAATCATGATTCCACGGCGAGAGCAACGGCGAGACCTGCAAGGCAAGGAAAGATGAGATCAGGAGGGATCCGATAAGATACGGTCAAGCAGGGTTCTCAACAGGTACTGTAGCGGTAGCTTCGCGCTGCTTCCGCCAACTTACATGGTGGTACTAGTAACAGTGATTATCTTCTTGACTATTCTAACAAACAAAACTGGAGAGGATACCTCTATCTATGTTATCCTCACTCTTTCTACTTTATCTTTCTTTCCTTTTTCCTCCCGCGTGTCGTCGGCGAGAAAGAGCTATCAAATCGTCTAAAACTGTGACAGAGAAAACATCAGGAAGCAAATTGTCAGCTTTTCCTCATCTCCTTTCTTCTTCTATCTCCTTCTACTCCGTTGCATACGGTACCAGTTGGTACCGTTCAGCTGGTCGGAACCTTCACCTCATTTTTTCTTCAAACGGGGCAACGTGTGAAAAACGTGGCCCAAAGTCGGAAAGACAGGAAGCAAAAATCTTCTGACATCAGCACACAACGTCAGCATCTGCCACATGAGACAAGGCTTCCTTCAAGTCACGAACTTGCCACATCAGCAAGTCAACTCCCGCGGTGCACAACCTGGAGCAAACCCTTTTTCTAGCTCGATCTATCCATATCTAGCAACCACCGGTAGACAGACGTCTCTGGTCAAGCGAGAGGAGTAGCAAAAGAGAAGAAGCTATGTTGCTTGTCATCCATAATAACGAAACTTGTACATATAGCAGAAAATTCGTTTTACCGTCCCAAATCCCTATGCGTCCCTATAAGAAATCAGGCACAACCTAGTGCTGGGGACGTGACCAGGGTGGCGGAAATCATTCAGAAGATTCCTGCCAGAACAAGGTATCCAGGTATCCAGGTTCGTCTCATTCATCACACTGTCGGAACATGCAATGCAAACTTTATTCTTCAAGCTCAAAGAAATCAGGCATGTCATTGGAAGTCAAAGAACCAACCCCCTTGCCTTCTGAAGAAAACTTTGATATGACAAGGTACCCAGTACTCCTCCCCAAGGAGCATTGTCTGTGGCATGAACTCTGCAGATGTCTGTGAAGTGTTCTGCTGTTCTGCAGGCATGAGACCCATGAGAACTGAATTGACCAAGTCGGTGAACGTGGGTTATCTTTCCTTGTCACCGCACCAAATGGTTCCCTTGAATAGTATTTTTGACTGATTGCATATTGGCCTTTGTAGTACGGTAGGTTCCATTTACAGCCACAGATCTCATTACACTTTCCTGGAGAACGAATCTCTGGTTGCCACAAAATTGCATTCTCCACGAACAAGTTTTGCCCATCAAAAGGAGTTTTATGAGGGTGTGAACAATTTGTTGTTGTGAGAGATGCTCAGTGAGGACATCATGATGGGTTGTGTCCGCAATGACACAGACTTGCAATCCTTTGCACTCTTCAACATGCTTCAATCCATTTTCAGAACACTGCAAATAGGAAGGATCTCCTGTCAGCTAGCTCGTCAAACTATTGTATATAATGGCACAGAGAAAGAGAATGGCTAAAGGTATCACAGATTGAGATGCCGCTGTTACAATGCTCCAACCAATGAACCATCCATGAAGCTTACCCACACAAGATCTCTTTCCATGGAATAGGCGACAGCAGTCAACAATGTGTCAATTGTGCCCTTGGCAAGACTGGGGAAAAGATCATGAAATGGAAGCAATGACATCTCTGTTGTGCTCGTTCCTCCAAAAATGCCACCTGCAATGGCTTTTGTCTATTGCGAAATAAGTCATTCATGAGGTCCCATTCATTCTTATTTGCACACATTGCATTCTGGTGAAAACGAAATCTTACAAGGAAGGGAAATTTGACAAGTTCCAGGGGGTAGGCTGCTTTGAGAACTCCTGCACTTTGTATCTTGTCCAAGGTGGACATCCGCAGACCACCATCGGTACTGTCCATGCAGCATTTTTAGTTGACTTCAGCGCAGTTGTTAGGGACGGAGGCTTGTTGGGGAGTTGAATCATCGTCAAATCCTCCACTCAAGCCAACCACAAGAACAACAATAACGACAAGCATGACAAGGATTCCCACAAAGAATAGAATGCGTTTTGCCAGGCCGTTCTTCTTTGATTGTTTCGCCATCAACTCCGAAAGATAGATTGGCAGGTTGCCGCTTTGTGTTGGATCGTCTTGTGACTACATTTCGTTGAGTTTCAGCCGTATAATGAACCTGTTGACCTTGGAAAGCAGAGTGCACAGTAGGAATTGATGTGATGGCCAAGTCACTTTCCACGGCACCAGCGCTATTGGAGGTAGTACCGAAACTCTCTGTATACCGAATCCCGCGGACAGGATAGGCGCCCGGCAAGCGGTGCTGGGCAGGGCGTCTTGCCTCTCCTCTCATGTTGTCCCACGGCTGGGCCCAGCACTCGACCGCGTTGCCATAGTGTCCTCATCGTCACATAACACGTAACACAAAACACAACGCCATGTTTTGGTTCTTTTTAGGGAGTGGTGGGCATAGTCAGCCTTGTTCGCAGAGACTGTGTTGCCTGCTGAGACCTCATCCTTTCTGGTTTTGTGCTCTGGATCCTTTTGGATTTCCTTTTGTTTGCTGCCGTCCTTGAGAGCATCGTCATTGGCAGGTGGAAGCGTGGAAGCCTTCTCCGCAACAGTTGGTGCCGTATATACGGCGCCGCAGAAGAACCAAGTCCTGCCCCACTTTCTACGTTCCCAAAATTGAACACCGAGGGGTACATACCGGTACGGTATTCGCTGAAGGAGGTTAGAGATCCAAATGTTGAAGACCTGAAACCGAAGATACCGGTATGCATGACTGAGCTTCGTGGTTGACGTGAATGTGGTAGGATTGGCTGGCTGCCAAGGCTCCTGGTACTGGCAGAGTCATGAGATGCTCTTTCACATTACTTGGAGAAACTGTGGATTCCTGATAGGTGGCTTCGCCTTGCTGGGAGTGTCCCTCATATCCCAAACTCGGAGGTATGCTTTCCTCGTCTTTACTATCCATCCTCCTGATCTTCTCCTCGATATCGTTGTGGCAACCTTGGTTTGTGTTGTCCGTGACGATTGCCTTTGGGCATCTGTTCAACTCAAAAAGCGTGTCGAGCGTGGAGTTTGACGGCTGAAGGGCGAGAGGCGTCGATTGCGTGCTCCTCCCCTCTTTCCCTCTTTTCGTCGGAGCATGCACTTTCCTTTGGTGGCATTGTTTTTCAAGTTCCTTGGACACAAAGCTGATCGAGTCGTGGATAAGTCGAACCCTAATCCATTTTTGGAAGCGTTTTCAAAAATTCATTAGAGCTCGTTTTTGAGCTCTAATGAATTTTTAAAAAAATGGATTAGGATTCCACTTATCCACGACTCGACTCGTCATTCACTCTTGGCTCAGCTTTTTTTAAAGAGTGACAGCCGACAGCAAGCTGTTCGGGGTTCGGGGTTGGATCCAGCCGTTGACAGTGATACGATAGCAGGTAAGGGGTCTAGACGATGGGAAGGTCGTACAAAAATGGAAGAGTCGGTGGGGAATGGGGACTCTGGACCTCCCGCTACCGGTACGGTGTCGTTGCATCCAACCTTCGTTTCAAGCAAGGAACCTTCCCTGGCCAGCGGCATTGCAAATTATCTCCAAGAAGTCGTTTCGAGATGTAAAAGATTTTTCGATTCGATTCGATTGGGCTTGTTAGGGTTACTCGGCATTTTGTCTGTTTGGATACTACAAAATCGAGAACATTTGACTCAAAGCTCCTGGCTCCTCACTGTCTGAGGGCATGTTTAGTAGTAGGGGTATGTGACAATAGCTTCTAGTGGCAATAAGATATGAAAGATACTGAGATTGGGCTGCTTGTAAGATAAAAACTCAGTGTTGCTGTGCCTGAATTGGTTGTAAGATACCTCTAGTACTGGACAAAGAATAGAGTTATCTTATTGATGGGGTAGGAGTGTATCTCAGGACTCGCCTTTCCAAGACTGGGACTACGTGTTCCGCTTGAGACGCTCATGCAATGGGGAGAACTTCACCTCACGCAACTCAGATCCAATGGACTGTCATTCCATCTATCTGTTCCTTGGCCTTCTCTTCACTCTTCCAGAGAAGTTGATGAATGAATCAATCGAATCTGACCACCATGGCAACAACAACAGAACGAACCGAAAGTCCTACCGAACAGCAAACTGGCGCGGTGGCCCAACGCTTGGAGGGAGAGAAGGAAAAGTACCGCTTGATCGTATCCCTCAATGACGAAGAAAAACTGCACGAGGGCTTTAACACTCTGTGGCAGACGGCGGCGGTGGTAGCTGCCTTGTTTTTATCCTTCTTGGTAGGACAAAGTTCCGCCTCGTTGGACTTGCATCCCAACAACGTATGGAAAAAGTTGGATCCGAACAATCCCAGCGAGAACAGCGCGGAAGAATGGGTGAAATCCTTTTACGATCTTTTGATTGGTTTTTCGACGGTCTTGGCGACCTTTATGGTCTGTGTTACCATCTTGCTATCGAACCAATTGGCCCACGTCCCCAAAGAATACACCAGCAAACTCATTGAGGCATTGGGGATTGCCGTGGTGCAAATGAGTCAAGGAATCATTCTATTCGTCTTGGTCGTCCTATTCTTGACTGCCGTGGGATTGCAATTCAGTCTCATTTATTCCGTGTGGGTGGCATCCTTCACCATTCTTTCGGTCATACTGGCCGGGGGCGCTTTGGGGTTTTGTACCCACTATGTCATTGCCAAGAAACGAATGGTACTGGAAGAAATTGAACAAGAAAAACTCAAAGAACAGCAGCAAAAGCAACAAAATGCCCCCAAAACCGTGCAGGTGGTGCCGTCCCCACCCAACCAACAAAAAGGACAATCCGTCGTCATCGCCACAAACGGGAAGCATCAGCAACAACAACAAAGAGCAACACCCAGGAGGAAATCCACTACAGATGCCAAAAGAGCACCCCAACAAACCAAGACGAAGAATGAGACCCACCGCAAGTCCCTTCCACTGCAGCCACCCCGAGCTATTCCCAAGCAAGAGAATAGCCAAAAAGTCGACCTTCCTCCTGGATGGACCCGTCATTTTGATGACGACACCAATCATTACTATTACGCCAACAAAGCTACGGGAGAAACGACTTGGGACAAACCAAACATATAGCACACAAGAACAATAGCTCCTCCTTTTTGCAAACTTTAAATTTGTCTGGCTATAGAGGTTGAATCGAATCTACAAGATCTATTGTTGTCACGTCTCGGTTTGCCCGTCGCGTCAATCGATCAATTGGAATCCCACCGAGAACAACGGCCACCATGATCCGCAGATCCCGATCCATTCCATTTTTCGATGGTTGGACCAAATGGATGGGTTCGAGGAAACTTCCACCACCTGGAATAATCCATAGGAAGTAAACTTTGAATGCATCTTGGCCGTGTCAATTTGATGATTGATGGAACTGGCAGTGAGACATCCTAGGCCCCGTGCGATCATGTTCTTGGTGGTGCTACCGCGATCGCGAAGGTGAAGCTCGCGAACCATGGTCCGAAGTTCCCTGCGTGCTTCAAAGGAGTTGGCATCAGGGCAGGTGGCGAAAAGGAGGCATGAAGTCAACACCAAAGAGGAAAGAAAGCTGCCCATTGTTGCTGCTGCTTAAAATTGGGGTTGAGTTTGCAAAGCTATGTGGAGACCGGGTGAATACCGTTATCTCAAACAGTGTTCAAATTTTTGTGAGAGTGATTTCTGGCTACTACTCGCATCTCAGGATGACTGACTCAGTCAGCCATGAAAACGATATGAAAATGCTCCCGTTTCTTCTGTCAAAATACCGGCGGGCCCACAATGTTGGTGCGCAGCACGCTCGGTCTCTCGATACCCATAGCCCTGGGGAGGGTCTTGATATGAAGATTTCCATCCTGTGCTATCTCCGAGGACTCTGAGCACTTCCACCAAGAGAACCTCCGTCCATCGATCTGGACCAATGTGATTTCGCTACACCACGGGCATAACTGCTGTCTTTGAACTTTGAACAGTCTCTTTGAACTAACTATGTGGAAGCCGTCAGCGTGAAAATTGCTGGCAACTAGAGCAAGCATATAGCTATCTTCAATCAGATCTATCTGCACAAGCAAACGCGTGCACATGTATTCCAGCCACTGTGATTGCCTTCTTCTTGATGATTGGTTTGCAATATGGTCCGTGTTCAAGAGGCGGAAACGAAGAAGACAAGCAGATGCTTATTTCATACGGTAGAGGTACTAGCCCTCTGAATCCACAGGAGAGACATATTGTAAAGGATACAGGGACGCCCGAGTTGCTCTTTTGGTTTCTTTGGCCGCGGTGGCGTTGACGCGTTCTTGCCAGAGCCCTACTCGCAGGTGAAACTGATAAAAATAAATGAGCTAATAAGCAAGGTAGCAAGGTAGTAGTCAATGGTACCGGTACCGGTGCAGAAGAGCTTCAGAAGACAGCTCTCTTCGGAACAACTGAAAACGTTTTATGATTTAACACAATTGTTTCCTGACCGACAGAGCTAAGAGTTAAAACATTTAAGAATGTTGAAGCTACTAAGGCCTGGTGTCTCGCCAGTGGTCGCGTCGTCGCGTCTTTATTTTATTAACGCCAAGCACGGCCTTGGAAACTTGGAAATGCGATACGACGAGACGACAAGACTAAGTCTTTACTCTTGGAGCTCTCTTGGACACTAATCTGGCCAAGACGGATGACAGACAGACGAGAGTCAGCTATCGTTCGTTGTCTTGATCCACTCTAATAGAGTGGATCAAGCCAACTCTTGGAAGCTCACAGCTCCACTCGACTCACCTCGAGGAGCTCCTCGAGGTGTAATGCTTACATGTAAAAGGCTCTCATCGCAGGTCGCTTCCATGCTTCCATCTTCCATGGAAGCAGTTGAGTTTAAGAGTTTGTGGAAGTGCAAGATGAGAGAAGTGGTGGTACCTGGACCGTCCGACGGTTTTCGCTCAGGTTTTAAAAAACTCAAAATATTGCAGTTGAAACATTCCCTTAAACATTCCCTTAAAACATTCCCTTAAAACATTCCCTTAACATTCCCTTAAATCAACATTCCCTTAACAACATTCCCTTAACGCTTCGAAACATTCCTCTAAGCCATCCTGTAAACCCCATAGAACATTCCCTTATCTCAGATGAACAATCCCTTAAATAAACATTCCCTTAAAACATTCCTTTAAATCCTCAACATTCCCTTAACATTCCCTTAAAGCTTCAACATTCCCTTAAAACGAGAACCACGATTTGAGCAGTTTTTTTAAAACCTGAGCAAAAACCGTCGGACGGTCCAGGTACCAGCTACCTTGTACCGGTATGTTTGTATCGTACCGGCACTCTCATCACCAATCTTGGGAGCAAAAACATCTTAAGATTGTTCCTTTAATTCTTAAGATGAAGAACACCCCATCTTGAGAATAAAGTACTGAAAACTGTATAGTTATAATTACTGAACTTCCTTCCCTTTATTTTCTCTAAGTCATTGGAGTGGCATCTCATAATTCCCCGTTTAATTAGGCAATGTTTTGGTAATTAGAGGACGGGTACCTTTGGGAGTGCTCCACTAAACAAGGCACTTTTACCAGTACCCAGTGACTGCTGACGGGTAATAACCAAGATAAAGCAAAGATGTTGTCAACATTCCAGCAAATTCCTACCACCGCCAGTAGCTCTAGTAGAATGGACATTTTAGTAATGAGTACTTTCTAGAGTACCCAAAAGTCATTGGGTTACTTCTGAAGTACCTAAAACAATGACATCTGGTGCGTCACTTCAAAAGATTGATAATTGTGACTCTAATGACTCTGACTCCAGCTCCAGATCCCCTTGCTCTACCTTCCGCCACAGCCATTCAAGGACAACAAAGCACAACAAGAAAACCATCTTCATGAGTTGATAGAATACTCTCATCCCGCCTCGAGAAGATTAAGAAATACTCTTACATACTACTACTACTACTACTACTACTACTACTACTACTACTACTACTACTACTACTCTACTGCTCCCATTACTATTACATTTACTATTAGCAGCAGCGTGTTAATTCTTCTGTTGCAGCAGCTATTGAGAGATCCAGCATCAGATTTGGCAGGTGAGTTTTGAGATTGTTTTCTTGCTGACCATGATGGACAGATGCTCAGTGAAGCAGCTCTCTGAACAACTCTTTCTGGATCACATACATAGATTGAATTCACAAAGCAAGGGATTACCAATCAACCAAGTTGTAGTATTTGACTTTCAAGAGTGCGCTGCTCACATCAGGTACTTTTACGAGTGCCCAAGGTTATCTTTCCAGTTACCTTGAACAGTATCCAGCTTTGAACAAGTACTTTTCAGAGTACCCAGCAATTCAGGTACCTTGCACAGTTCTCATCTCGAATTAGGCACTTTGCAGTGTACTCAGTTCCACCAAGTACTTTCTACAGTACCCCATTCTGTTCAGGTACATTGCACAGTACCCATCGAGAATCAGGCACTTTGAGGTGTACCCAGTTTCAATCAAGTATCTTCTGCAGTACCCAATTCCATCCAGGTACCTTGTACAGTTCCCATCTTGAATCAGGTACTTTGAAGTGTACCTAGTTTCAGTTACAAGTACTAGCTACCTTCTGGAGTACCCATCCAAGATATCTATCATGTCATCCCTGTATGGTATTGATGCTGACGGTTCTCATGGCTACAGGGAATGTATTGTAAGTTGGGAACAGGAAGAACAAGCAACATCTAATGTTCCCTATGTACAGCCAGATGATGACCTACCTCCTAAGGAGTCTATTCCTGCAGAGGCAACTGTTTCACACAAGGGAAATACCCTGTTCTTGCCCAGCATCTTCATGAAGGAAGCATGCAAAGAACCCAAGTCGAACGGTGGTTCTTCCCGGAAGAACAAAGCAGGAATCAGTGGCTCTCATCGTGTTCCCAACTTCCCGACCGATGATTTAATGATTCCAATGGAGACCCAATGGCATCAAATCAATGATGATTATTTGGTAGTACACGAAGAATGCTCTGATTCTGATTATGAAGGGGCTGATGACCATTTAGTGGAGCTGGTTAGGTGTGATGCAGAATGGAGATCTACAAAGTGGGCATTGCGAACCAACAAAAAGGTATTGACCCCAACTCTCCCTGGGGAATTGATTGACCAAACAAGTACCAATCCCAATGGGCCTAGAAACCAACCAGAGACTCCCAAGGGCATTCCATTTTTCCAACTCCAAGCCCACATTCAAGCAAAGTGTCAAGGGTGGAAGCCAGAGAGCTACGAACAGCAAGGGTGTGCCACCTCTACTACTGAACCGAACCCAAAGAGAACCAAACGCAGAGGCAATAAGAAGGTGCAACAGTTCAGTCGTCGGATGAAGTTTCAGATGCGACCCTCATCCTTCCCGAACTCCCCACTTCCTCCAAGATATGTTTTGAAACAGACTCGTAGAGAGGAAGGTAACAACAGTGGCCAAAGAAACCCAGAGGAGACGGCCCCAACCAATCTGATTTGAAGAGAACCTCCCCTGTTGCTTCTGTTCTTGATAAATCCATTGAGGAGCAGCAAAAGCACAGGAATCAAGGTGTCCTCACTCCCGCAATGACAACTCCAACATATTGGGCCTGGCTGGTTTCTGGTGGAAACATCACTTGGGGCCCCCTACTATTGCCGAAGTTAGAGAAAGCAACGGGAGTCCTCTACCACACTCGATTGACGATTGCACCCCAACTCGCTTGTCCTATGAAGATTGGATGGAGAATCACTTTGCCTGGAAGGCAGATAAGAGCTTCAAAAATCCGGCAAAGATTGAGGTTGGGGGGAAGCTGAAAGCAGTAAACAAGACCAGCATGAAGAAGGAAGAGAAGGAGGCATGTAGCCACTTCGAAACTTCTGCTAGGGTTGCAGCGGATAAAGCGGGTGTTATGCTGAAAGAAACTTATGGTTTCGTTACCTTCTACCCTAAGACTCAGGGACTCCATGGAATCACTGCGAAGGTGAAATGGGAAATGAACAATGTCTACTCCGCCTACTGCGAAACATGCAAATGCAAAGATGCAGCGTGTTTGATTGCCAGGTTTCGGATTGTTGGAGAAAACTGCAGTGTTGGCACCACAGACTCGGATAATCGCCGCGCTGGAGTCCAACTTTTGGAGATCTATCCCCACAACCAAGAGTGCACCAAGGAATGGTATGAGCGGAATAGTCTTGCCTTCATCCAAGCGGTTTCATGCAGCTGATGCCATTGAGTGGATTCATGGTACGTTGTTGGAAGGTCTTGATTCTCATCTGAGATTTTCCAGGGAACATCCCTTCAACAGTCAGTTGGCAGGGGACAGGATCACTTTTGGTCACAACGATGATGATTATCCCTATGACAGAAGGATGTTTTTGCCAGCACATTCTGAGGGCTACATGCAAAGTCTCATTGCGAAATTCATCCATCCAATTCAGGTGGAACAGATGCATGGGCGACATGTTTTGTGGATGCTTGGCAAGAAGAATATTGTATATGAGTGGTCCGCAATTGTGCCAGTTGTTTTTGTCATGGCGCAAAAAAATCTCTAAGGGTTGACCAGGCACTTAGCAAACGGCTCATGATTCCTTACAAGCCAGGTCATTATCCCATGGTTCCCAACCAGTGGTCGCATCTTATTACTACTTCGAATGGTTCATACTTAATGGATTTGGTCCGCCTGTACCGCACCCACTCAAGGTTCATCTTCTGGCAGAGAAGAAGGCATCCCGGAAACAACAGCCACGGGAAACAAGAACGGTCCACCAGTACCGGCATGCAGATTGTGAAAGCCCCAACTACTACCCCTTTGAGAATCCTGATCTTGATGGCAGATACAAACCAGATTCCAACTTGATCACATTAATAGGACATCGTCCTATTATGTTTGATGGTAAAGGAAACACAGTCACAAACTACCCTGGTTGGTGTACGTCTTGGCTTGGTAGCAAGGGGCACTCTGGTATGACTCTTCTGTATGATCGTAACAAGGGCCCACCCAAAATGAACGTTGCTGTTCATTTTCATTTGGACTCCAAGTATCATTTGCGGTCGGAAGAGTACCTTGAGATGAAGCCGGATGTGAAGACCTATTTCCCGCCAGAACACGCTGACCAAGTTTCTGCTTCTTCTTTAAAGGAGCAGTGGCAGGAAACCGACGAGATGATCTGCTCCCTTCTTTGGGCAACAGAGTATAAGAAGAAGACTCTGAAGTCAAAATTCCAAATTCCTGAGCGAACAGCTGTACTCATGGAAGCTTTGAAGGAGCTCTACCCACCCCTGCCTGATGACATTCACCAAGCCGGACAGAAGGCACTGGACCAGTACATGGACGAACTCAACCTAGACGAGGGTGGAGGCAACGTTGCAAAAGAAGTTTGATCACTGTTCTGTAGGTAACTAAAATATCATTGTTTGTGTGCAAACTTTTGCTTTAGATTGACTATACTAATTAGTGATTGATTAACAGATAAGCAACACTTGGGAGACATGTCCTTGACTGATCATGGACTTGACTGCCAAGCATGAGTTGTTGACAGAAGCAACAGGGAAACATGTACTTGATTGTGGAGTAACCAGGGACATGGATGCCTAGCGCTACTCATGGATCAATTTGGATTTCTGATTGAAGAACTGAGAAAACACGGCCTGACCCAAAGAAAGCTCATAGTCAGGCTGGGAATTGTCAATTTGATTGTTTCATGAATGGACAGTAGTTACTGTTCCTTCAGGATTTTGGTGGATTGGGCACATCCCCCTGAGCAGGCACATGCACTCTGGCACGGAACCTTCTTTCTGAAGCATGGACATTGATTGCTGCAAGTGGAGTTGCCTCTCTTCCTGCACTTACATGTGATCTTCCCATGGGGATCCACACTTGTGGTGGCTCTGTGGGCATCTGGAAATGATGATTTCTTGTGCTTTGTTTCATCGAAGCGATTTCCTTTGACTTGCTCTTGCAGATCGTAAAGAGTCGGACTGAGAACCGGCTGGACCGAATAGGGAACAATTTTGTCGTGTGGAATGAAGTAAAGCTGCACATTCATGACATCTGCCGATTTTGCATGCAAGGGGAACCAACCACCGAATACACATACAGCAACACACATCAGGAGCACCCATTCGCTACACAGACAACATCCAATCGAAAGAACCCAAGAATGCCGAAGCGGCATAAAAAAAACGGACCAACCTGCGCGCGACACGACATCCTCTTGAGCCAAACTTCCACTTACAAAAACACTCACCCAGACCTGAAACAAGAAACATCATACCCAAACCTCCTGCCAGAGATTGTCACAAGCATCGGATCTTGATCTCAACCCCTACCCACTTTTTGGCTTGGAATTGTACCCCAGAGAGACGCCCAGTAAATGTTCGCGCCTCGAGCAGCCACCACCACTCATCAATCTGATAAGCAAGAGTATTAACTCACAGACAACTTCTCACCTCTGTCGACAATGTTGCGCAAAGTGTGCGAGTCCACGTACATCTGCACACAATGACAACCACACCAATGATCGTAAATCTATAAGGAATCGTTGCATGAGAACAGTCGATCCCCAGGACACTCGCGCCTATCGCCGGTATGATCTCACTCAATAGCACCTCTCCACAAAAAATGACTAGAACCAGGCAATTGAGTGATGAGGCGGCGAAAACCAAAAAAACATCTACACGAACACTGCAGGCTCAGAACCAACAACAAACTGACAGCACCACTCTGGATGCCAAAGTCAATGGACAGCTCAACTACTCAAGAAACCTTTCCTTTCCCCACTCGGCTCAACCGAGACAATACAGGGAGCTTTCACATCGCACAAAAACGCACCAGAGAGACAACAGACACACGACAAATAGCACACAGTCAGACAAATGGCACCACAACAAAGAGGTCCCAGCCAGTCCGCTACTTTGCTGAGCTCTTGAGTGAAAAGCGAGCACGACAAGAAAGCAACGAAAAAACCATGAAAAACAGCCACCAAACGTCTCACCAACTACCACACTCGAAGTCAGCTTCGAAACACTAGGATGTAGGAAACTATCACTAATCAGATACAGAAACAGCTATTGCAATAAATGGAGCCGCGACACAAATGCAAGAGACTAAGCATAGGGCCAATGGACCGAGCTTGGCAGTGGTAAGCTTCAAAACCAACACCCTTGCACTGTGCACGAATTTCTCATACAATCCCAACTCAAGCCACACAAGAAACCACATAAGAAAGACCATTCATGACGACAAAAGCGACCGTAATACACAAATCCCCGAAACCAACAGCAACAAAGCACATAGCAGGAGCGATCAGCGTGAGACTACGAGATAAGGGGCGTCATCAATATATCCAGAGTCTGCCAAACCCAGATAGAGATGGCCAGAAAACGCAACCCTCCGGCAATACGTTATCTCCTAGAACCTGCCGAACCCAGATACACCACTAATAATTTAGCACAATCCCATCTTCGGAATAAGAGCAGATGCGTCACTCTAGTTCAACACTGAGTACCTAGACAGGCAAACCAACGCACCTTCGCAGCCAACAATGAAACACATCCAACTGACATACAACCACACACTTCGCCTATGGCGAGCACGACAACAACAGATAAAGAAAAAGACCAAGAAACAGCCAAACCAGGGCAATAAGAGGAAAGAAAATGTATCTAATTACCACTGTTGTTGCCTGGAGAAATTCTGGTTAGAGATTTTGTACGTCTTGTGAGCTGTGAATTCACCAATCTTGGCACGAAACACTCTATCACAAGAAAGACGACAAACCCGAACATACCATTCTCATTCTCTTATCACCCTAACAGATCAGAACAAGAGCCAAATCCAGCCCTCCACCTTCCACCCCAAACCGCCGAGAGAAAAACACAGCCTGCGAGTTACTCAACCAAGTAAAGATCCACCACCGGAATTACACAACTCTTCGACGTAATTGACGACAACACCTCTCGCACGTTCTGCCAAAGGCGCCTACTCTACGAGTCAGAAGTTGACACCGGGGCCCTATAGAGTGTTAATCTATACATTGCCTGGCAGTTGAGGAAAGCAAGCTACTACATCATCCGACTATAAAATCGAGACAAGAGAAGAAAATCTATGAAGACCACTTATCACGAACAGCCCTCCATAGGAGTAGATGATGAGCCCTTTTACAAACCACAAAAACCCCCAGTGAATCGCACCTTAACAGTACACCCCCAACCCAAACACCAGCAGCACACCAATCCTGCATAACAAACGCCTTCCAAGACACAATACCGAACTACCTGGCCAAATATAATGCCTATACAACAGCCAGAAACAAAACAAAAACACCCATCCTAATAAAAACCATGTGGAGCACTATGTCACAGAAATGAAGAAAAATTCAACATCAAAGTACAACAAGACCAAACAGACTACCACCAACTGGCAAACCCAGCATATCCTCGGATAAAGCCGCAAAGCCCGAGCGTCACCAAGACTCCAAACCAAAGCCAGATTGACCACCAAGGTGACCACCTCAAACACAATCCAAACAAACGGTCCAACTGCAGGTCCGGCAGCGGATGACTTCGCCGAACCAGTCCCGAATCCAAACAGGAGCTGACAGAACTCTACCCAATCACAGCTTCCAGAGATGAGCCCCCATCTTCTTGCGGATGCGAAAGCAAATTCTCCCTCTGTCAGCAAGGCTCCGTAAAACTCGTTCAAGCGGAGCACTATGCACCTTCGTGGAGTAAGTTAGACCACTGCCGCGCGCACCTCCAGCTAACAAGGGTGTCTCGGCGAGGCCATGTCTCCAGCCCCTAGCGGACGTTGAGACCCAGATCGAAACTGCATTCAACTGCGACCCACTGAGTGACCACACTACCCATTGAAATACATGCAGATCATATCACACGCGAGCACACACAAGTTCTGGAAACCAATAAGGCTGAGAGAGAATTGAACTCAGAATCCTGACAGTAATCGTGCTCCTTCGAGCGCTAATTGGTGGGTCAGCATACATCAGAGCGACATTGCATGGTCTCCAGAACAACACAAGATCAGATGCATCGAGAGGCCAGATGCGCGATGCCGGGACCTGAGCGCGAATCCTCCTGATATAAACGCTGCAGCCATCTCAAATACTGCCTGAGTATCCCGAACTCCGGTAGAGCGTGAACACAGCCCCTGCAGCACCTACCTGTGAGCAGGAGCGTTGAGCTTCCGCCAAACCAACATGACGCCCGGAAGAAGCCCGACGAGAGGGCGGGGGGGGGGCGCGACGGGGGGCGCGGCCGCGGAGAGAAGGGGAGCGAGGCGCGCATGGCGGGGAGCGGGGAGTCGTATGCTAAATTTTTTGAGCTTCTTCTTTTTTCACATAAGCTTCACATTCAGCACGCGTGATATTGCCGAATCCCAACTCAAGAATGGAAATATGGTTGGTCTCATGCTTCAAGTGACAGCCTCTGAGATGGATCATTTCAATTATATCAAAGGTCTCAAGCATATCAACAAATCTGGTCTCCTTGTGGGACTTGGGATCAACCTTATACAAAAGAGATTCACCAGTCGAGGGATGATTCTTGACCAAGTAACCTTGGCTGGCGAGGCTCCTGCAGTCGCTATATTCACGCTTGAACTCCTTCTTATTGAGTGTACCATCCCCCTCTTTCCAGAACTTCAAGGCATGGATGCGCCTATTGAGCTTGTCAGGAGTAAGTCGTTTGCTGGTTTCCCTGCCGACTTTCTTGTCTTTGCTTTCAATCAACCTAAGAACTTCCTTTTCAAAAGCAGCCATTTCCATGGTAATTCCCTGTTCTCCTCCGAGATCAATACCATATGCTACCTCATAGAATCGAATGCGATGGTTGTTTGCAATGGTGGGTTTCAAAGAAGGACTATCATTCTTAGTGGATGTTGATTCAGTGGCCTCTTTATTGACTTGCTCATGTTTCTTCTTCTTGGCTTGCTTCCTATCTCTGTGCTGTTGGCTTCTTGATTTGGATTTCTCCTCATGCTCAGATGAATCGCTCGAGGATGAAGAGCTGGAGGAAGTTTTCCGGGAGGGAGGCGACTTCCTCTTATGAGTTTCAGGTGAGGTAAGTTCCTCATCCAAAGTGAAACCAGCGGGGGTGAAACCGGAATAGCTGGTTATCTTTGAGTTGCCTTCATCTTGTTTCTACCTTTTTCTTCTTCTTCTTAGATGGTGGCATGGTGATCCCCTATCTTTCTGATGTGAGAGGTACTGTCTTAGGTGCTTGAAAGTGGGAGGTTAGGTACTGTTCTGAGTGTGCCCTTCTGAAAACTGAGGAATGAAACGTGTTGTGCTTGTTGTTGTTGTTGTTGCTGTTTCCTTTCTACTTGAAGTTGCGCTGAAGATTTTTGGATCCGGATTCTTAAGTTCACCTTATCCCTGAGATATGTGATTGGGGGCCTGAAAAAGGTACCTGAGGGACATTAAGGCACTGTTGGAAGTATCCAACACGTGTGGGTATGGGGTACTTTGAAGAGTATCCTTGAATGAGATGGGCACTCTCAGAAGTATCTGGAGGGCATGGCTTGGTGTGTCTAATTACCAAACTAGCTAGTTAGAAATTTAGAACCCAGTGAGTTACCCTATCTTAAGATCGGGTAACTCTCAAGAAATAGGGAAAAATCTTAAGTGAAAAAAAATCTTAAGATTGGTGACGACAGCACCGGTACGGTACTTTTACGGTTCCAGTACTGGTACTCTGTAGTGGTACAGTAAGTACTCGAGTAAGAAGGTACTGTATTAATAAAATAGCCTTCTCGTCTTCGGAAAGTTCAAGTGTGAGTGGTCATACAGTCAACTCGCTCTAATATTACTTGGGGGGGATTTCGGACTTCGGGTAATATAATAGAGAGAAGTAATATTAGGCTTTTCAAGGGCCGGTTCCACTAGTAAAGTACGAATGGATAGAGCCGTCACGTTTACGCTTGCCCGCCCTAGCAGCCCTAGCCACATTCAATGCCCTGGCAAACCTGTCAAGATGCACAGTGGCCGCCTGGTTGATACCCAAAGCAGAGGCACTCTTGGAGAGCTTGTTGAGTGCTTCTTCAGCTTCGGCAAATGAGGCAAAGACATCGGCAGGTTCCGGATCAATCTCCACTGGTTCCGGTTCCTCGTCATCAAGCACAGCCAGTTCGGCTTCTGTTGTTTCAACTTCGAGCTCTTCAATCTCTTCGTCGATGGTTGCGCTAATGACTTCGGGCTCATCCTCAACATCGATCCAATTCTCCGCCATTTGCAGCACATCGTCCCCAGAGTACATATCGTAATCAGCAGCAAACGATCCTTGCAGTGCAATTGCGTGCCTGGTCACATCCACCTGGGTTTCTTTAGCTTTAACTTGGAGAGAACTCATAAGATGACACAAGTCGTCGGAATCCTCCTTGCTCATCACCTTATCTTTCATAGGGATTGAAGTGGACCCAAGGTCAGCATTGATGTCTGTTTCCATGGCGATGGGAAGGATGCCTGCCTTTCTCCAACAACGTCTGATACCGTCTTCTTTTGCATAGCGACCGTCTTTGTTCCAAATTCCATTCAAAATGTCCATTGCATCAAGAAGATGCGCCTTGCCTCCAACTGCCAAGCCACGGCATCCTTTCTTTGTTGTGAGTCGTTGCTTCGCACAAGCTTCATATCCCCCTTCAACATCAAACAGTTCAAGCAAAGTAGACAGCATGATACATTTATATCCAACTTTAAGGGCAGCAATCATGCCCATGTCTGCAGGTTGATATGTGTTAGTCATATTGGGTGGAAGGAACAAGACATGTAGCCAGGAAGGCAGGACATCCCAGTTATCCAACTTGTGAGCGCTGCAGTTGTCCAACAGGAGGATACAATGGGCATGGCCCCAATGTTTCACATGGTGAGGAATAAACACAGTTTGAAGCCACCACAATGTCACCTCCTTTGTAAACCATGCATTCCTTTGGTTTGTATAGGCCATGGAAGGTTTGTTGTTCTCCCGAAGCGTGAAACACTTTGGTTTGGCCGCCTTACCAACCAAGCTGAGGGGAACTTTCTTTCCATCCGCAGATGTACAAACCATGAGTGTTACTCTCGTCTTGTCCTTCATCTGTTTCGCCCCGGCAAAGTCTTTAGCTTTGTCCTTTTGAACGTAGACACGATTGGGGAGTTTCTGATAATACAAACCAGTTTGGTCGGCATTGTAAATGCGACAGGCAGGGACATCGTATTCGTCAATTAGAGGATGGAACTTCTTCTGCATCCACTCCTTCATGATTGTCTCCTTCGTTGCATCATCCATGTCGCCGGCCTCTCCATGCAGATTGATTCCAACTCTACCATTTCTTTGGAGGACTCTCGAAATCCATCCATCGGAAGCATTGAACTCCTCTTCTGGTATGTTGAGCTGCTTGGCATAATGAAGTGCCTTCGTTTTCATGGTAATCCACGACAAACCACAGTGGTCTTTCCCAACTTTCTTTGCACGCAGATCCAGGTAGGCAACCAGCTTCTTCTCAACCTCCGGATACTTTGGTGCCACATTGCGCTTGGAGTTGTCTGTTCCAATCAATGTCCCATCGTCATATTCCTTCAGGTAGCGAATGAAGCTAACCCGCTCCGACTTTGTGCCAGAGAACTTCGCCCCAGAAGCGGACGATTCCAGGAAGACTTTGGCTTGCATGTTCTTGAACTGTGTACGGAAGCAGTGACAAGCCTGATACCAGTCGGCTCTGTTCTTGGCACCGGATACATTCTTTGAACCAGGCTTCGGTCCTCTCTTTGCGCCTTTTGGCTTTGTTGAATCGGCGCCGTTCATGTTGGTTGAATCGGCGCCGTTGGTTGAATCGGCGCCGTTCATGTTGGTCTATGTCAGATTGGAGGGTTTGGTATGGTTTGGGTGAAATTGTTTTGTTGCTGAGAGAATTGTTTTTGTCTCCTCTCTGCCATTCTGCGCAAATCTCGCGAAAACACCATGAAAAACCCCACGAACGAAGATTTGCGCGGACTGGCAGAGAATGGACAGGCAAGCGAACTCCCATCCGCACCTCATCGGCATGCATTGGCATGCATTGGCATGCATCGGCATTTACATGTATGTCTCTGTCGAATTGGACGGTTTGCGATGGATTGCGAGCGATTGTTTTGCTGCTACCAGATTTGCGAGGGTACATGTACGGACGTCATTCACGGATATGCGGGACTGGGGGGGGGATCCGAAGAATCAGGTAATATAACAGCGAGAAGTAATATTAAATAAGTAATATTAGCGCGAGTAGACTGTATGAGGAAGGTACACTTTAAATGCGTTTTGGAAAGGAGTTTTCAGCTCAGTTTTCGTCGCGTCAGCATATTCCTGTTGCAATGGGAGCATGCAGCCGGGACCACTACAACAAGGCAAGAGTAAGACAATACTTGTACCATGACGGATCGCGACGGTGCCGAGCAACTGCCTGGCAATGATGCTGACAATCTTTGCCAAGGAATAGACGAACAACAGAAGAGGATATTGCGTCACATCCTAAACGATGATTTGTCAGACAATGAAACGGAAGATCTTGTCCAAGAACCCGACGAACAGCAGAAAAGGATAGTTGGCCACGTCCTAGGTGATTTTGAAGCTTCTGAATCCATGGCAGGTGAAGAAGACAGGACACAATGCGAAGAAAAAGATCAGGGTGGCGATTTTGCACAGAAAACTCGACCAACTGCTGATAATGGATCATTGCCATGTGGTGGGGCCGATTTTAGCGCAGCAGGCTGTGGTGGATCTCCAGAGCCAATGGGTGCACCCCGTCTTTCACGAGGAGACACAAGGCATCCCGTTCAGCAATCCAGGCCAGGTGCCTACCAAATGGCGGGAACAGCAATGGCAGGAACAGCATCAAGCATGAGCCGGGCTGTGACAACTGATTCTACTAGTACCAATAGCAGCTCACCTCCAGAAACTGCTATTCAAGCGCACCTCGTTACTGCCAATGAATCACCTTCATCTACGCGAACAGCATCGGTGGAGAATGCAACCAATAGGGAACGGCGGCGACAGTCCAGAAACCAATCCCCACTTGTGGAGGGGAAACCTGTGGAGGAAGATTGGAAAATCCCCCAAGAGCTGTCTCTCGTTTGCATCCTGTTGCTGGTTTCCGTTGTCGTTCTTTTATCGGTGGGCTTGACTGGGGGGTTTGATGGCGAGACCACGTTTCATAATGGAGCTGAGGATTCCAATTCAACCGCTGTTGGAAGCAAAACAGAGCAACACGGTGGCAACCAAAGCAATCTTGATGGTCATGAAAAATGCAGCAACTCCCCTCTTTACTATGACAAGCACTTGTCTACATTTGCACAGATCAGAAAGAGGGGTGTTCTGAAGGCAGGTTTTCCACTTGATATTGTCAAATATCCATATCTTGTAAGTTTGAAGCTTGCTTGAATCTCTGAAGAAATGAAATCTAATTCCTGTTTTGCTTATGACTGTGTTACGTGTAGACGAAGGCAATTGCTGCTGGTATCCTGGGACCAGCAGCGCCTGTCGACTTCATACAGATTGATAAATTCACTGATCACTTCAACTATGTAGACAGTGGTGCGGTGGACATAGTTCTAACTGGTGTCACACACAATATGCAAAGAGATGTCTTGTGGGTGAGCAAAACATATAAATGGTGTGCAGAGCTGCAGGTTTGCAATAGCCGTATCTGACCATGTCGTCTCTTCAGCCATTCTCGTTTTCTATTCCATTTTCCTTTGACGGCATCCGAACTGCAGGCATACCTTTCTATGTTCAGTGTGCGGAAGATGGTCTAAGGCATCTTGATGAGTGCAGTGGATTGCGAATGTGTGTTGCAGGAAATACCACTCATTATGCTGCCATTCGAGAGCATCTTCCAAGGAAGCATATTGTTCTGGCTGAATTGGGAATGGAAATCATGTTTCGATTCATTGAAGGAGAGTGCAATGTCCTTGTAAATGAAGGAGCCCTTATCCAAGAGTCTTTCCTTCGGTCATTGTCTGTGAATGGCACCAAGTACACAGGAGACTATGCGATTGGCAACACCTACTTTACCAGGGAACCGTTTGTGGCGGTGACAAGGAAAGATGACCCTGAGTTCAGTGACTTTGTCAATGCAATTCTCATGGGTCTCATGGCCGCAGAGAAGGACAACATTACTCAGGCCACTTCCCATTTGATGCCAGAGACAAGTTTGTTTGGTGATGACTACAAGTACATGTTTCAGGATTCCGTGGCTGTTGGTGGCAACCTGGCAGAGGCATTTCACCATAATTTTGGAATCTACCCTAGAAGTCCCTTCGATACCATCAACAATGGCACTAGCGGATTGCTTTTCGCTCATCCATTTGGAGACATTTCGAGCAACACCAATCCATTTGGATGCAATACAAGTGACAAGCCATCGCTTGGGCTTGCTTTTGACAATGTGGTTCAGAGGGGCAAGTTCCGCTGTGGCGTTGATACCAGCAAGCCTGGATTTGCTACCCCTTCTGAGAACCAAAGCTATTCTGGGATGGATGTTGACTACTGCAAGGCCTTGGCTGCAGGTCTCTTCCAGGGAGATGAAGCAGCAGTTGAGTTTGTGGAAGTGGAAGATGAGACTGATGGTTATGCTCTCCTTGCTTCAAACGAAATTGATATTCTGGCTGGGGTTACCTGGACCCTGCAGAATGATGTGAAAGAGCCCACTACCAATCAAGGCTATTCCTTCTCTATCCCATATTTCTATGGCTACAGCCCCAACCATGACAACTTTTGCTTGGCCACAAGACAAGATGATCCAGACTGGAGTCGGTTTGTGTACTGGATTGTCATGTCCACTTTTTATGCTGAGGAACATGGTATTGGGCACCAGAACTCCTCCCTTATGCCTGAGGTCTTTGTGTATGGACCAAAAATGAACCGTGTCTTTCGTGATGCCATTCTAGCTGTTGGGAGCTATGCTGAGATTTATGAGAGGAATGTTGAGGCTTTGATGCCACGTTCCGGCAGGAACTTTTTGAATGGTCTCTCCAAGCCTGGCCCTCAGCACTATGTGCGGCCAGACTTCCTGGTATGACCACATGCCTTTAGTTTCTTTACATTTTTCATAACTTCATTCGTTGTTTAAAATTGTATCCGCGTAATAGCACATCACCGTGCACAGGACCGTTGCCTTGGAGCCGGAACCCTCGAAGCGACTGCAGGGTCCTCGCCCCAAGTCCGTGTTGGAATGGACTCGACGCCATTGTACAGGCTAGGCTCTCTTGGCTTGCATGCTTGCACTCCGGATCCAATCAATCGACTGCCGTGATCACTTCCGATGTGGCTCGGCAATGCCAGCAGAACTGGGGAGAAAAAGTGAAATTTTCAATGCGTGGGGTCACCCGGTACACGGTATCGGACTTGACCAGAAACCGTAAGTGATAGCTAGCTAGGCAGTCGAGGCGGCGACAGATCTCGTACCAGGCCCAGTAAAGCAGCATGTGAATGCAATCGTTAATCCCACCAAATCCATTTCATCGACGGAAGCCATCCTTGTTGACAGTTTTCTCTTCAAGGATTGCAAAGCTGCAATCACCCGGCATTGCTTCCTGGCTGACTGGAGATATTTATCGGTACTGGCGAACTCTGCAAAACCTGACCTTGTGGTGCAGTCAACCAGCTTTCATACTTCTCGCTTGCCATGACGAAAAGAAAGAGGGCTCGAGCAGCAAGGCGATTGGCCTGTACGAATAGCGCACGTTCAAATAATGACCAAAGAGAACCAGGGCAACAACGACAGCTACGGCAAGAACCTGGGCAAGAACCTGGGCAGGAAGAAAAGGAGGAGGGAGATGATAGAACCAACAACGCTCCAGCAGTTGCTCAGGTTGCTCAGGTTGCTCAGGTTGCTCATCAGGAGCAGCAGGGAACAACAGAACCAAACCCTCCTAGTGGTACGTTCTTTCCTTTCCTAATGTCGATCGTTGACACGGTTTACATAGCAAGAGGTACACGGTCGAGAATTGTGTCTGGTCAATTCGATGATGCAGACGAGGACGTCGAATATGGATTTGGAAGCGTGAGTGCAGTATTTCAATTTTTGGGCGACAATGTGCCAGACGATGCAAGAATGGGGGATAATCCATCAACTCTCGTGATCGATGTTTTGTATCAGTTTGTATCGATTCTCTACGTCATCTGGAGATACCACATGCGGCATGAATTTGGACCCCTGGAAATTCCGTCAGGATCTCCTTTTCGTCTTCCTGATCACCTGTTCCTTGCAATACTGGATTTTGAGGAAAAGCATAGGAATCATTTTTACAGCGTCCTTGGAAAACCAACGCCAAAGAGGGTGCGGCGGCCTCCAAGAAAGCTGCCGGTTTCTCTCCTGGCACGCCACAAGAGGCGCCCTCTGATGATTCACGTCAACAGGGATGACAACGATCCAGAATTCCGGTTCCGTATCTCATTTTACTGAATACCCTCCATATTACGGTACTACTACCAGGTGCCTCCTCTCTGCAATGGTGAAGTGCAATCTGGCAGGAATCTCTTGAATGACAGCATCATGCCACGGCCCCAGCATTATGCAATTCCTGGGTTGGTTTCTGGTTACCGGTACAATTGGTTGTCATCTTATCTAGCTACTATCTAGCTAGAGAGCTAAGCTAGTAATTTACATTCACCTTGAAACTGAACTCTCTAGCTAGCTAGCATTTGCTACCGGTAGTTAACTACCGTATCCCGCCAGGACTCTGTATGTCGCCGCACTGTGAATGAAGTCTTTCCTTTGGACGTGTGTTCTCGAGGTGCCTTGGCGCTCACATTGTGGTCACAACCATGATTGTACCTTCGACATGCGATCGAATGGTAAATAAGCGAGCTAAATAAATGCTGTTTTCGCAGAAAGCCCAATCTCCATGTTACGCCTTCTCTCAAAGAAGGTGACCCGGCGACTCGACACCCTCCACCGCCCAATGCGAGGGCAGGAAACATCCATCCTTCATCATGTATGTGGCTTGCTAGCTTGTGTGGAGTGTGAGAAAGAGGATCCCATCGCTATTTTGTTGCTACGGTAGGTACCGGAGGCTCTTGCCTGGTCCTGTCCAAAGCAATTGCAGCATTTGCCAGTATACGAAAGCAAGTACCAAGGAGGTGAAAGTAGAGTGAGTGTGAGTAGTAACAAGTGAGTAGAGATAGCACCATGCCAGTGCTGCACAAGGTAGTCCGTGGTGGTTCCCAGATGAACATGTCGACGGAAGAGTACGAGTACATTGAGAGTTTGGATCTGGACAGTGACTTGGACGGATCTGAATTTGGTCGTCGTGGAGGCGCCTTTTCGGCCGAAGTAGCCATTCAGATGGCACGCATGGCCATGGAAGAACGCCAAGACGGTACTAGTAGTGGATCTCATCAAGATTCCATCACCATCATTTCCGATGTCAACAGCAGTACTCAGCAGTCCTCGACAGCACGGCCGAAACAGTCACAACACCGCAGTAGTAGCAGTGCCGCCTCTCGACTCTCGTCTGCCTCGTCGGTTGCTTCGGCGCCTTTTATCCACAAGACGGCAGAACACAAAGTCTCGAGTCACTGGCGACAACACCCCAATACAAACAATAGTAGTAGTAGTAAGAAACACGCAGCCAAGCAACCACAACAACAACAACACAGTTACCGAGGAGGAGGAGGAGATGGAATTGCCAGTATTGCCAGTTTGTCCGAAGCAGATTTGCCCGCTTGGGCTCTGGAATTGGGTGCCACATCCTCCAGAGATGACAGTGACACCAACACTTGGTACACCAAACAATCCGACGGTACTCGAGAACTCTTGAAGCAAGGACTAGCATCCATCCGAGAAGCACGGCAATCCGTCCTGTACGCCAATGACTTGTCACCCAGTAGTACCGCACAAGCCGTGGCACCCGCGCACAACAAGCATCATTACCAATCGAACAACAACAGTCGAGACGAACAAGACGACAGCTCACGAGGACGATCCAGAATTCGGCGAGGAGACTCCTTGGATCGACCACAGACGAGGACACCCGCATCTCCCTTGCCGCACGTTCCTCATCAGAATCAGCTCTACCCGGATCATCATGACGACGACGAGGAGGTCGAATCCGATTCCAGTTCCACGGGAGGCGTCAAGGAACCTCCACCCGCTCCCCGCATTGACTATAGATCCAAACTCATCAAGGAGGGCACCGTTCCACCCAAGCCACCACGCCAATATTATTCTTATAAACAACCAATAGTGCTGGAACAACCACTGTCCTCCAATTCCATGTCGGTTGATACAACGGCAGCGCTACCCTCCAAAATACCCATTCTATTCCAACAACCCCAACCAGCAACTCCGTCCAGAGAAACCAGAAGTGCAGAGAGAAAGAGAAAGCTTGGAGTAAAAAACATTTCTCCTGCTCTTTCTCCACAAAACAACAGGTCTGTAGGGAGTCATCAGAATGTAGAAGTATCCCTCACGTCGCCTGCGAACGCATCACTCAAGTCGGCTGCCAACCACACATACAAGACCAGTGAGTCAACGAGCAACTCGGTCGCCTCCAACAACAACGTCCTCGCCAGCCCCACCAGCAGCTCCTCCAACTTGAACCCCCGTTCGTCCACACCCACCACAGCCAGCTCGGTCATATCGTCCACAAGTAATCGAGGCAACAAGTCCATCTCATCATCCAACCGCGAATCTTCACCTACCATGACCTCCTACATTTCCAACTCTTCTTCTGCCAACAAGTCCATCTCTTCCACCACCAACCACGAAGCATCACTGACGAACACTTCAAACCAAGAAGAGTCCACAAGCAACAAGTCTCAAAGTTCGGCCAAGTCCATTTCTTCCACCAACCATGAGGCATCACTGACCAACGCTTCCACTGTTTCCAACACGCTGGCCAACCAAGAGTCATCCACAAGTTCGACTGCCCAATCCAACAACAACAACAACAACAACAATCCCCAGGATGCTTTCAACTGGGCTGTCAGGGCAGTTTCGTGGTCTCCCAGAAACAGAGATGCCAGATCTGTATCAACCTATCATGGAGAGCCCACACCCAGAATGTTCCATCACAGTTCGGCCAGGTCGGTCTCATCGTACCGAGAATCGCAGACGAGTTCCTCCAACCATGACCGATCACTGACCAACAACACTTCCAATAATGATGATGTGTCCACCACCAACCAAGAAGAATCCACCAGCAATTCTTGTGCTGACCAAGAATCCACATCCAACGGCGCACAGGATGCATTTGGGTGGGCTGTCCGAGCTGTCTCATGGTCCCCCATGAATATGAACCACAAAGATGCTAGATCCGTCTCGACATATCATGGAGAGCCCACACCCAAATTTCATCAGAGCTCGGCCCGGTCCGTGGCATCCAACCAGGAGCCACAATCGTTGGGAAAACGAAATTTCAGCGCTTTGGATCGGTCCGATCAACAACAGGAAGAAGAACCAAAGACTACCGTGGATGCTGCCGCAAGTGTGGCTTCCACATGGGGAAGTCTGCCGTCACTGCTGCAACCACACATATTTTGGGTTCATCCCGAAGAAGTCGACGGCGAAAACAACAATAACAACAACACAAACAACAACGATGACAACAACACGACCGTAGTGGAAGCCACTGCCATTGAAACCACATTTATTGAACCTGCCCCAGTGGAAGACCGTAGCGGTGTTGCCAGTTCTGCAAACAGTGGCAATAAGAATGACAAGGAAATTCATCGACTCCCTCCCTTGGGGGAAGTCAAGTTGGATCCGACATCGAAGGTTACGCCTTTGCACGAAGCCCTGTATCGAGGGGCATCGGTGACAGAAATCTACCAATTGGCGGCCAAAGCGAAGAAGGAATCTGGTGTCATGGAAGCACGAGATTCCCTTGGAAATACCCCACTCCACATTGCTTGTATGGTACCCAGTAGCCGCAATGACAAGGCAGTGAGGTTGGCTCTGAAGTTGCTGTCGTCGTCGTCGTCTCAACAACAACAACAACAACAACAGCAACAGCCGCATGACCCCTACTATGAAAGTGATTCCTTGCTGCTGGTCATCCAGTTACTCTATAACTTGTGTCCCCGAAACATTCGACGAAAGAATGAAGACGGGAACTTGCCGTTGCATCTCGCTATTCTATCGGCCACAGCGGCTGCCGTCGCGACCCCCAGTCAGTGCACCGTTTCTGTTGTCAGTCAGGATGGCGCAACAGAACTTGATCATTCCAGTACGGTTACTGGAACGTCTAGAGTGTGGTTGGACATTATCGGAAAGATCATTTTTGAAAATCCATTGGCGTTGCACATGCCGAATCGATACGGACAAACACCGTTGGATTTGGCCATTCATAAACAGAATACATGCCCCGATTTGGTGGCACTGATTCAAGAGGAGATTGCCATTTTGGGCGAAAATTTCAGTAGTGGTGGCGGCGACGAAACTACCACCTTGTCATCCGCCACTCCTGCCCGCAGTCCACAACATCATTTCCATCAATACGGGAGATTTGGCAAGCTTGGGGAAGCATCCAGGATTGGCGGTGTTTGGCGCCGCCAATCCTCTGACCCCAATTTTGCAGCTCAACATCAACAAGCAGCGTTCGAACAGCAACCGCACGACTTTGCAGGTGCTGAATCACCGTCGCAGCCTAATGGCAATGGTGCCCCCCCTTCCTCTCCAGAACACGCCTCGCCCAAACCACCAAGCGACTCTAATCCAAAGTACCCACCAATCTGGTTTGATGGCGGAAACGACCCTTCTCACCCTCCGATGGGATCTACTGCAGCGAAGTACAGCAGCAGCAAGAGTCCTCTCGGGGTGAACTTCTGTACAGTGGTCCAATCCAAAGTAGGCCTCATTGGGTTTTTCATGCTGACCTTTGCGGGGCTCTTGTTCTTGCCCAAGTCGGCCACTCACAAGCACATTCGCGTAGCCTTTATCGGGAACTCGATCACTTTCGTCAATGATTTGCCACGATTCATGGAAGAACTGAGCAGAGGACGCATTTCGCAGAACTCGTGTTTGCATGGAGCGACACGGTTACGGACAATCCTGTACTCGGGCAATGGCATGTACAACAAGTGGCAAACAGATAATGCATTCGTCAAAGAAATCAGCGAGGACGACGACTTGTACTACTACGTGAACGAAGATGACGACGACGGCAATGGAGCGAGCGGACCTCCTGCGATCTACGACTTTGGAGCCTGCACAGTGACTCAGCTCTTGTTTGGGACTGACGACAACATGGTCGCCGGCAATGAGAACGGGCAGTACAAAGATGACGGGAAGAACCCCTGCATTGAAGATCCCGCCTATTTGCGATACACACAACAACAGTATCTTGAGGCGGCTAGTGACAACGCGGAGTCTACAGTCCAGCTATGGGACTATGTGGTCATGAACGATCAGACCCTTGGTCCGGCCCTACCTGAAGAACGCGAACTGGCCGAACAGGTTTTGAAGTACGTCTATGCTCCTTATCTCAAGCAAATCAAAGCCCGCCCCGTTCTGTTGGCAACGTATGCCTATTCCTACGACGCCGATGTGCAATTTGACGAAGATTACGACTACATCTGGCAGGATGTGCCAACCTTCTCTTCGGCATTGTATCAGGGGTATTTAAAATATGCGGAAGACTTGACTGTTGCGCTACCACCTGGGCAAGAGCCGCTGATTGCTCCAGCAGGTTTGGCCTTCTTGGTCATTTGGGAAGAAAATCGAAGCATGTGGAAGAAGCTCTTTTTCACTGATGGGTTTCATCCCACGCCTCATGGTACCTTTTTAATTGGATGCGTTCTGTATGCCACACTCTACAACCGTATGCCTGCCAATATCCCCGATGACGTCGAAGAATTGTTTTCCCGCGCTCGGAGGATGGAGCTACTCCAAGCCGATTCTGACGATGAGGTCATGCCTATTCCCACCCAAGAGGAAGCGATCTATTTGGCCAGCATTGCAGAACGAGTTGCGTTGAGGAAGCATATGCCCAGCAGCTACATTGCTGATATCTCCGACAGTGCCTACTAGGAAGTTTGCTCGCCTATCCGTTGTCCACTCGTCGGGATCATCGATTTTGACCACCGTGCTATGTAATTAACCAGTAACTAACCATCTAGCTATTGGTCTTGACACGAAAATGCACCAGGAAGGACACAAGCCAATGCCTGTCTTATTTGATGCGTCAAGTCCACACCAACATTCTCAGCTTTGATTATTGCACGCACAACATCCCTTTAATAATGCATAACAGATACGGTACCAACTACCAGGTACTACGTTTCCAGCTTTTGAAGCTTTCTGTGGCTGAAGATGAACCTTCTGCTTGGCAATCCCATAATTTTTGCCCACACTGGTTGGGCGTCAAAAACCACTTTTTGGGCTCACTGTGTTGGGACCGACAGCGCTGTGTCTGGACCGACAGTGCTGTGTCCAAGCATTGTGGGGATTGCAGCCATGCTGGGGCCAAGTGGTACTGCGGCAGCAGCAGTGTGGGAACAGCAGTGCTGAAGCCCCCTGTTGCGGGATGCCAGTGCTGATGCCAGTGCTGATGCTAACTGTTGTAAGAAAGGAAGCGTTGCTAGCTAGCTAGCCAGCTAGAATCCATCTGGTGGTAGCTTACATGCAGCCAGGGTTTTGTGTTCTTTGGACCTTTAGAAACCGGGCGGAACCCATGAGATGGGTGGACCCGCGCATGCGCTCTTCCACAGCGACAGATGCCCCCACCTTCCTTCTGTTTTCAAACAACATCATGCGCCGGTGCCCACCGGGTTTTCAGTCAGAAGTTGACCAATGCATCCAACCCCACTGGTTGATCCAGGCAGAGTAGTACCGGTACCGGCGACCGTACTAGTACGTTCAGCCACAGATGCTTCCAAGCGTGTTAATCGGAGTCAAAGATATTCGTCGAGCAGTAACGGGCAGGTCCTCCACCACTGGTTGCATGATTTTCGTCGACGGCAACCCGCAGCAACGCATCCTTCGATAGTATCCTTGGCGGGAACTCAGCGGTTGCCCAGGAAGCTGGTGATGAAAGAGGCTACTATGGGTGAGAGTGGACTATTGCGAGAGTGGATGCTGGGGTTTCGGCTTCTTTTTTGGCGTGTTCGGAAGCAACAGAGCGTGCAGGCCTGCGAATGAGCGCAAGTCAAGTCAAAACCCCACTCTGTTCCGATTTTTGTTGAAGCTCACCTTTTTTGGTTCTTGTAACGAAGCGGCTCTTTCCCACAGCACAATTCCCGATTGCGAGAGATTGCGAGAGACGAAGAAGTAGAAACCTCAACCAAGCAATTGATCGATCGACTGACCTAGCAACCATGAGATTGTCGAATGCCTTGCATGCTGTGTTGGCGGCTGCTTGTATGGGTCCGACAGCGGGGATTCATGCGTTTGAGCCGAAACTAGGGGAAGAAGCGCGAAAGTTGCAGCAGCAAGAAGATATCTTGGATTACAGTCCTTTGACACAAGTGACAGATCAAGCGGCCCTCGATTTGGATCTGCTTACCATGGAAAACTTGTTGAATCTACAAACACCAGAGTCCATGGCTCAAGCACAAGCAGTCTATGAAGAAGGTGCATTCACGCAAAACTACGCTGTCTTGACATTGACTAGTCCCGTGGGCGACGGGGTCGACCTGCCGAAGGGAATGTCTGTTTCTGGACCTGCCTTTGTCAATCCCGCTGTTCAGGCTCGTGGGTTTCTCATGGAGGACCTTCAAGCCGGCGCCACGGAAGTGTTGGTTGCGTACGCAACAAGTGCTTCTCAACGATCCTACGTAGGATGCCAAGTGGGTGCTAGCCCAGATCCCACTCTTGATGAATGTAAGTATTGCAGTCGAACTAGTTATCTGGCTAGTTTCCAGTAGTACATGTAGGTTCTCACTCGTTTTCTTGTCCGTCTTTGGAACAGGTTTCGGGGGACAGGGCATTATGAGCATCGGTGGCCCTGATGATCCCGTTATCTACAACTTGGACTACACGTATAATGCCCTCAGCGATAACAAGAATGGACGCAGCCTTCAGAGCATTAGCACGAACGCACGAGATACGATGTACAACTGCGATAACTGCCCGTATGGCACGTACGAAAAGTTCTTCAACTACTACAGCAGCTTTGACTACGGGAACGAAATGATCATGGCAGCCTTCACCGGTGGATCCACGAATTTTGCCAATGGTAATCTCAACTTTGGAAACTTTGAGTCCACAACATCTGACGGTGTTGTAGGTAAGTCAATTAAAGACGTTATGAAGAAGCACGAGGCCCAACTCCCACTCTCATGGACGTCCCTTTTCCTCAGAGTTTGTCCACAAGGGAAGCGTGTTCTTGAATGTTTTCATGCAAGTGATCAAGTCAATGGAGGATGCTTGTTACGACTGCGATGCTGGGTGCCCCGTTACTGGCTGTGGCGATGACAATACGAATCCGTGGGACAAGGCAGTGGCGTACTTTGTAGGATCCATGGCCAAGGTAACCGACGGTGACGAAGGAGACTTCCTGTACAACATTGCAAACAAACGGTGCCGTAGCTTTGGAACTTGCGAGGGTGGCAGCTCCAAGGCTAGTGACGATATTATGGCAGAGTTCCTGACAGGACAACGGCAATTGCTCGTGGGAAACTGCGCCGCTGCCAGAACATCCAAAGATCGCATTTCCAACCTCATGGCTGTTCCATTGATTCAAGGAACTTTGCGTTTTGCATATCTGAAAGATGTTCAAGACGTCACCGACGAGAGGGCCAATGCCTTGGGGGCAGTCTATGCTTCTGGTGTCCTTCCTCTTGTCCACGCATGTAGCCCGGTCGATGCTCAGGTCATCTACAGCAACATGATGCTTGGAGCGTTGCTTTCACCCCGATTTGAGGAGGTCAAGTCTGCCTTTGAGAGAAACTACCGGTGCTTGGGTTTGACTTGTGCCGATATTGGCGGTCTCGTCCTTGCTAGTTCAGGCGACTCCACCAGCTCTATTCGAAACTTCGTCTCAGGAGGTGAGCCATGTGTTGATAGCGAAATCCTTGCTAACGAAGGTACCACCACGCAACCAGCTATCGAAACCGAAACCACGCAGCCGGCTGTCGAATCCGAAACCATGCAACCTGCTGCGGAGTCCAATACCACGCAGCCTGCTGCTGAGTCGAACGCCACGCAACCGGTTGTCACTTCTGAAACAACGCAACCTGCAATTGTTGAAACTGCTGCACCGACGACTCTTGTTGTCAACTTGACGACTTCTGAGACTCAAGTCACAGTTACAACCACGCAGACGAATGTGACTGTCACCACCACGCAAACTGATGTGACCATCTCGTCGGGGGAACCCGAGTCGACTGTAGATTCAGTGACTGTGTGTCCTCCCTGCAGCGCGGCATTTGGTGGGGACAGCAGCATTTCGGCTACAAAGACAGTCGAGGAATGCCCAGGACTTGTGAAGGATCAAATTCAGAATATCCCACCAAGCTGTGACTGTGCCTGTTTCGTGAACTCCAACTTTGCCTTTTGCGCAACCCCAGATATCATCTACAGTGGAAGTGGCTCTCTTGTGGGTCCCTGTGAAGTTGGATCAGTGGGCGGAGCCATGGAAGAAGAAGAATCAGAGAAACCAGAAGAGACGGCACAGACTGGTACGGGAGTTTTCACAGGACCCGCGACAGAGGAGTACCCTGAAGAAGAAGAAAAACCCAAGCCCGACCGAGAGGATGACGAGGAAGAAACAGAAGAAGAAGACACCGCTGGCATAGCCCGTCCCAGTAGTGGTGGAGGTTCAGATGGAGGCCCAAGCGAAGAGGAGGAAGCCTTGCGGGCGACCAATGCAACATCCGTCAACGAGGAAGAAGATGAGCTCAATCAGGATGGGGAAATTGAAGTCAACGAAGACCGTCCTACTTTTGTGTTTGCCAATTCGGCAACTTCTGGTGCATCCTCAACGTCCACGACCCTCCTCAGTGGTTTCGCTGCTGCCTGTTTGTTCTTGTATGCGACTGTTTCTGCTGTCTAAGTTAAGTTGGAAGCAACGGAGCAGAGTTGGAGACTGACTCACACGTACTTCGGCCGTCAAGTGATCTGTCCATAGGCGCTACGCTTGCCCCGTAGATAACTCCCACTAAATATTAACTTGTACATTTGAATAGATGTTGCATCATAGCATTTCACTTTTCTGCTTATTGCAGTTGAAGCTTCAACTCTGTGCTTCTAACCTTGCCTGGCGAGACAAAACGTCTGATGCCGAGTACTACCACAGCGCAAGTAAGAACTACCTGTAGTACCAGCATAAGGACTGAACTCTCACTGAGAAGACGCTACATGAACCGACATTCCCACTGAAGAAGAGCTTGTCAGGAAGCAGGAAGGCAATACCAGTACTCCTAGCTAGCACAACAGTGGTGGCTGATACAAAGCTGGAGCAAGGCCGCACTGCAATAGCTACAGGCTACCGTTCGTGTGATGAACTGTTCCTTTCTTTACCAAAGCGTACTCTAGCTGGTTGCGTCCCACCCTCTGAGGAGGCCGGTGAGCAGACTTGCATGTTGGAACGCCTAGGCCAGGGCTCATGCGTCGCCCCCCAGCACTTGTCTGAATCCGTTCTAGATTGTGACTTTTGAAGGAGCCCAAACAGAATGTCATCGCTTACGGGAACGTACATCGTGGAAGCAACCAATCTTTCTATAAAATGTAGATCAATCCATGGACACCCAAGCGCAATGAATGAATTCAACGCCCACAGCTACTTTGGATCCAAGCAAGTTTATAATATACCTACATGATATCCAGTTTGCGATCTCCATATCCCAGTGCCGTTTTATTGTCGTCAAATAGTTTTTCCAATGCCATCACAAACTCCTTGTGTTTGGCTTGGACTTCTTCATCTGTGGGTTTGCCTGGTTCTTTGCATTTCATTTCAATAGGAGTTCCAAAGACAATGGTTGTTTTGACATTGACTGGACAGAGGGGGAATCCGCACTTGCCCGCTGTTAGTGGAATGGCTACACCGAGATTCTTGACGAGTGCCAACCTTAGTCCAAATGCGGCATTGCTGGTATGATACAAATCACTGGCGCCAAAGACGTAGACGGGAACGACGGGCACGTTTTTGCGCAGTGCCAATTTGATGAACCCCTTTCGTTTATCCACATACACCAACTCACGGCCATTTTGGGTTCGAATTTGTTCTTGTTCTCCTCCCGGTAGCACCAAAATGGACCGTCCTTGATCGAATTGTCGTTCGGCCACCTTTCTGGACGCATCGACGCATCCCGTCCACAAGGCAATCTCTCGTGCCAGAGGCACGCGAAACAGAGACGAAGCCGTCAAGGTTCGCACTTTCTCCGCCAATATGGGCAATGCCTCGTGCAAAATGCCATCCATGGCGACCCGATAATCGGAATTGGATCCGTGGGGAAAGACGGCCAGCAGGACTTGCGCCTTGTCTTGCGAGTCTAGTGCCAAGACTTGTGGTGGAATGGGTTTTTGAATCTCCAAGCGCAGATAGCGACGGAAAATGTTCAAAACGAAAAAGTTTTGACTAAAGTGATGCCAATGATTGCCATCCTTCAGTTCGTCACGTCGGAGAAACATGGTGTAGGTATAATAGGGTAGCACCACAAAGAGACCCACTTTGGAAGGACTCTGGATGGATCCAATTAGGAAAAAGAGAGCCACGCCGATAATGATCGTAAAGAGAATACTCATCGTCACAAAACCAACCAAAATGTCGGCAGTGCTCTGCGCTTCTTCCAACTTGGGTTTGCCATTGCTAGTAGCACTAGTACCGGTAGTGGATTCTGTCATTGTTCAGGATTTGGGTTGATTTGGGGTATATGGAAGATAATAGTCAATCTGAATACAACCAAGTGCTTTTGTCTGTCAATGATACTGCCAACAACAATAAAGGTATACAGTATAAGTCCTTCTGCTTAGACTGAACAGGGCTGAGATCAAGAGCGGCAACCACAACAACGGCACAGAGAGAATGAAAGCGGATAAAGCACCAAGAAAGTAAAGTGGGCCAGGATGCCATGGGGACAGAGTGGGTCGGAAGCAATGACGCTGGACTGGACTGGCGGCAGTCCCAGAAAGCATGGGGGGTTAAGGCTACATGTATCCATTACGAATCAAATCGATTCGATTCGATTCGATTATTCGATTATCTTGTCCCACGACTGCACTTTTGAGTGCACTTTTGAGTGCACTTTTGAGTGCACTTTTGAGCAAGCAACTTCACTCTTCCGCTAATTTTGCTCCCTTGTCCTTCCTGGTTTTCCTCCATGCACCCCCCTTCCCTGCCCCCCTTGTTTTGCCCTGCTCGCGTCCTCATTGCTCTCCCCGTCTGCCCACCACACCAGCCACCCACCACCGCAGCCACTGCTTTGCCTCGCCTCACCCCCCTCGCTCCTTAACGTATCTATTTAGTATTTATTTTCTGATTGAGCAACTTCACTCTTGATTCACAGTTTCGCTTGGACATAAGAATCCATTCCTTTATGCAATATTGTTCAAGAGAACGGCAATTTTAAATTGGCTATTGACTCAAGCTTATTTGTCCAGGACCCTTGGACCTTGGGAAAGCGCATACAGCATGCAACAGAACAACATGTACTGTAGCAACATGCCGTACGATACCACCGGTACACCGGTTCAATAGCTTCAGATTACAGAATCGGATGTTGCGAATGGCTCTGCAATATCAAGGCAAAACAGTCCTCGGTTGCTCTTGATTTGTGGCCATTGACGAACTCGCTTTGGAACAGTATCTTTGTCGCATTGGAGGTATGTACTCTTATTGCTACCGGTATGCATACTGAGTAGTCGAATTAATGAAGTCAATAGCTAGATGCAGCCAGTATTAGCGTTGCTTGTACTCTGAGTAACGCTTTGTGAACGTACCCTAATGGTGTCGAAGCATGGAAACATGCAACTCTCAGCTTGTCCAGCTCAACTTCCACATTGTAGGTTGCTGAAGCTGGTATTTTTAGGCTGCGGTAGGTAGAGCTCTCGAGCCAGCTCTCGGTACAACAGGTTCGACCACCAGCACCAGCAGATCGTAAAAAGACAAGCAGGATTACAGTATATGAATTCGTACCACCGGTACTTACGCTGGCGGTTTACAAAATTAGTTACAGTACTTGTACCGGTGGCAGTTGCAGTCGCAAATAAATCTGCACAGAGCACAGAACAGTTCTCTCTTTTCATTGATTCTACTACATCATACTATTAATAATAAATCCTAGGGTAAACTTGAAGGTTCACATTCGCATTCCCAGGTCGCACTAGCAAGTCCTGTTAAGGTGTAGAGCCACGCGCTGTAAGCCAGCGGTAGTTTGCTAATAGAAATGACGTACGAAATCAGGAGATCTTTCGCATATGTACGGAATTTGGAATCTTGGTAGTTCGTATTCTCGCTGGATTCCCCAGCATTGTGTTCGAGCCAAATTCTAGCTTCGTAATATCGTTTCGCGCACCTTTTCTGCCTTCACGCATAAGTCTTTCAGACATGGAAAGCCGGCCGACCTATCGTGATAGCGCCAAATTCCAATATTTCGTGAATTGGCTCTCGTGCCCGAAAACATATCATTGATCAGATTGCCGCAACATTGGTGCACCTTGGCTTTTTTATTTGGTCAACTCGAAGCAGATCTTCTAATGGAACGACGCATAGAAAACACTCCCAATGCTGGTACTAGTAATGGCCTGTGGAGAGCCAATATCTATATTGAATCAGCTAAGCTAGCATCTAAGGAAGGTGGCTGGAGGCATCTTGCAATTGGCACTGTTTCGTCTCGAACAAGGCACAATGGCACAGGAAGGCCCAATTACAGGAGACGTTTCGACAGTGAGGATGAAGACGATCCAACAGCATCGGAGTTTGTTGAGCAGGAACCAGCTGCTGAAGAGCAGGCCACCACCGAAGAGGAAAATGAAGAGGAAAATGGGCCCAAATTCAACACAAAACCTCATCAAAGAGTCATCTTGGAGACAGAACAACTATCCAACTGCTTCAGCCAGATGCCTTGCCCAAGAGAAAACTGTGATGGCTCCCTCCAATTGCACATCCACAACTGCTGTATTGCTAGTTCATTCAAGCTTGAATGTATGAATGAGGATTGTGACTACATCTACAACAGTGACAAGCCAGCCAAAACAGCAATGCATGCCGGCAGTAACGACAATGGCGAAAAAAGCACCGACTCTGCAGCCAACGTTTTGTTTATTATGGCTTCACTTGCGAATGGCAACGGTGGAACCGAAGCAGCCAGCATCCTCGGTCTTTTGGGTTTACCGAATGACACGACCATACAATCGCGCTCGTTCCGAATTATTGAGGACCGCATCGCACCATCCATTCTCGAATTGAAGAATGAAGTCGTCCGTGAAAATCTAAGAGGAGGTACGCAAATCGACGGCTAATGAGCAAGAGTTTCTTGATTGGATGGCCGCGTTGAACGATCCCAACGGCACATTACCGGACAAAATGCCGTTTGTTGATGGGGGATATGACATGGCATGGCAACAGAAGGGATCCGGTCACTTGCGGAATTCTGTGTCTGGTCACGGTGCCATTGTTGGTGCCATTACGAGAAAGATCATATCGTTTGGCATCAAGAGTAAAGTTTGCGGCCAATGCACTGCCTGGGCAAAGAAGCATGCGGATATTGAACCACGTCCAGCAGTACCGGAGCACTACTGTACCAGGAACCACGATCCAAAAGATTCGTCTGGGTCAATGGAAGCCGCTCTGGCATTGGAGCTGGTTGTTGATCTGTTCCGGGACTCCAAAGTGACCATGCGGCAGTTGTGTTGCGACGACGATTCCTCCATCAGAGCTGACTTGCAGTGGAGCAATGCTAACTACAAAATCAATTACCAAACCGATGTTCTCCCTCAGGTGAAGATTACGAAGGGGAAGAACAAAGGCGAGCTCCAGGAGCGTCCCGACAAAGGGAAATTACCGGGTGATATCCCGGAGCCCAAGTTCGTGGCTGATCCCAACCACCGTCGTAAACAGTTGACGGGTGAGCTGATCCGTTTGGATCTATCGACGGTTGAGAAAAAGAAGGGGATGTGCCGAATGGACTCTATCCGTATTGGGAAGAATTTTGCCTATTTCATTCGTACGCTTCAACAGATTGAGGAAAGTGAATTCGAAAGCCGTGGCAAGGCCGTGTTGGATCACCACTTTGACAGCCATACAAACTGTGGGCCTTGGTGCCTCCGGTCAAAAGAGACGGAGGACGAACAAAAGAAAAGCAAGAAGGTCTACCGTACGCAGAAGGAAGATCCGGAGCTCTACAGTCTGCTAGACACCATCGTGGCCAAATACATCACCTTGGAACGGTTGAAGGAATTGGCCCATGGTCAGGATACGAATGCCAACGAATCATTCAATAGCCTTGCCACATGGTTTGCTCCCAAGAATAAGGTCTTTGCGAGCACTCGCTCCCTTGAAAATCGACTTGGAATTGCAGTGTGCATTCATTCAATTGGCTACGAGCAGTTCTACCGTCGACTACTCTTCAAGCTTGGAATTGAGATGACCGATGGCATCTCTCACTACTTGGGGATTGTCCAGCGAAACCGTGAAAAGCAACAAACTAAGAAGAAAACGAATGAGTACAAGATTAGGCGCAAGAAGAGAAAAACCGAAAAACTTGCTTCCGTTACGGTGGATTATAAAACCAAGACGGCAAAGGGGCTCGGTGTTTACCGTCCTGGAATGAATATGGAGGATGTCACAATGGAGGATCTGAGGACGATGACTCCAGTTCGTAAGAAAGCAAAGAAAGCAAAGCAATATTGTCCTTTCTGCGGCAAGGCTGGACATGTCACCAAGAGAGCCAAGAAGGCTTGTGTTATGGCTGGCAAGAGCGACACTGAAGCCCCACCAATTTACTGCAAGGATACTGGCAGGTTGCTAGCTGACATTGTGGCAGAAGTATCTCCACAAGGGCCAACTAGTGCTGCTGCCTCTATACCTACAATCAACCAGAACATTGTGGTTCAAGAGGAGGAAGATACAGTGGCTCTAGATGTGCTTGCTTTAGCAGAGGATGCAGCCCTTGATTTGGCTTGTCTCGAGGAAATCCCCTTGAATACCATTGTGCCAGGAACAGAACATCTTGCCCAGTTAGATGATGATACATCTGATGAGGAAGACCTTGACAGTGATGAGGAAGATCTCCCCAATACAATCTAAATAGGTAGCCAGCTAACCCACTACTCTAGTAGCCTTGGTGCATGTGTTTGTCATACTACTGGAAGCTAGCGAGAGCTACCTCTGCACGAATGCACGAACTCTGGCACTGTACGGAGGCATTTTACCAGCGGGAAGCAGTATGGAGGTGTTCTGGCCAAACCAACGGTTGTTGGCCCAGAAATCAATTCAAATATTCACCTCACATTTTGGGCTGCAACCGGGAATCGATCCGGCTCGCTGAATTCGCTTCTATACTAAAACAGTACAAAAAACACGGATTGGACTCACTGACTGGATTCGTTTGGGGATTTCAAAAGATTCAAATTCCGACCGACCAGAAAGAGAGATTCCATCACCGAAGCAAGGAACAACGAAAACTGCTATCAGACGCAAAACACCACTCGCACTGTTAGAGACCTCATTCTCTCGATGGCTGCTGAATGTATGGCCCTACAAGAACCATATACTTAGCTGCTGCTAATAGTGTAAAGAAGAGAGTAGTGCCTGGTTGCGGGGCAATGCTGGCAGCAGCCATCGAGATTTATTGGCTAGAAGCTGCGATCGAAGGATCGTTCGACGCCTTCTGCAACCACTCGGAAAGTCAATAGGCGCATACAAACACAAGGAATGCCCGACGGCTACACATCGATACTACTATAACAGACACATCTTGTACTACTAGAAGCCTCATCGGTGGGCGCTGCATGGATTACAGCACGCCTTTAGCAGCAGCTGTCGATTCTTTGTTGTTTGTTGTTGTTCTCGCGATTCTATCGCGATAATTACGTCTCTGCGCACCAATATTCTTCCCAGATTACCGCTGGCTTACTGCGCGTGGCTTAACACCTTAATTAAACTGAGTGTTACCTGTGACAGTACTACATGTACGTGTAGAGCTACGTCTAGTATGCCACAGTTACGCCACATCAATTCGGTCCACGTCAATTCGGTCCGCGTGTCCGCGTGAGCTTCACTTCTTCCTTGTCTTTTTGGACGTCGGAGTCCGAGTAAAGTCCAGAGTCGAGTCTCAGTTGAGAAGTTTTTGGAGTTTGGATCTCGCTCCAAAACAACCAGTTGCTCCGCCATTTTCTCTCGTTATAATTTTTAAGAGCTTTGCTTCGAACTCATTTAAGCTGAGCGGAATCTGAAGTAAGTACTAGTACAGGCTAACCCAGCAGCAGATTGGTCAACCATGGTCAACGAATCAAATGAGAAGAAGAACAATGCATCCAAAGAGGAAGACTTGGAGTTTGCTTCCACCCAGGAAGAGGCCGGTGACGGCGAAGAAGATACAGAAGTGATGAACCCGGAGGACCAGAAGGATCCTTCGTCGAACATTGCCATTGGTGTCCCCACTGAAGACAATGCAACAGACAGCAGTACCATTATTGATGATTCCACCGAGGATGATATCAAAGGTACTGACGTAGACGAGCAGTCACATCTTGTTGACTTTGAGGAGCCCATTGAACTGGAACAGGGCAAGCGAGCGGAGGAGCAAGACGAACTGGAAAGGGGCAATGAAGAACAAGACGAATTGGAACAGAGCAAACAAGCTGAGGGATTTCGCAATGAAGGCACGGAAGGTGTTGTCGTGCAGATTTCGGATATCGAACACGATGGCACGGTACCTCGCTCCTCTTACGCTAAGCCGCAGTACAGTCATTCGTGGTGCCAATCAGATTCCAGGAGCGTTTAGTGTGGCTGGGATGGCTTCTATTACTGTTAGGGCTCCTGCTGGGAACAGAGGTCCATCTGTTAGTGGCAGCATTAGCAGTAGCAGTGCTGGTGGGACTGTGGTGGGCCACAGACAACTGGAAATTGATCCCCACCATGCCGAGTTGGTGCCAGAGGAAGCAGAAACCATAAGAGATCCTTCCCAGTCTTCTGCAGTGCTGGAACTTCCACCCGTCATTGAAGGTACCGCTGTCGAGGGCAATCCAAGTCCCCGAAATGCTTCCATATCTTGTCCGCTATGGGTATCCTTTTGATGATTACGATTATTCTAATGATGTCCTTGGGATTGAGTGGCGTCTTTTCTTCTAAAAGTCTTGCCACATCCAGTGAGCAGCAGCAAGGAGACAAAGAGGACACCCAGAATAGCATTGGTTCCTCCTCCACCGTGCCACCCATTTATGCTGCCACAAGAACAGAAGCCCCAACCTCTGCGGAATCCAAACTGTCCAAGTTGGAGGAGATTCGAGAACGTGGGATTCAAAAAAAAAAAATAATGAGATTTTATTTTAAGGGCTACACCTCGTCAGACGATCCGCTGAACGGTGCCGTGACGAACCCATATACCTCAGGCGCACGAGTGCGCCCACTTAGGATGGGCCTAGTGTAAGCCCCCCACCGGAGAAATTTTAACAAAACTCCGGAGGGTGCTGTACGACTAACTATCTACTCTAGGCTACTGAAGTAGATGAGAAGTCTCATCTTGTTGCGGAGGAGCAAGATGAACTGGGAAAGGGCAAGCAAGCTGAGGCATTCCCCAACGAAAGCACGGAAGGGGTTGTCATGCAGATTCCGGATATCGAACACGATGGCTTGGTACCTCCTCTTACGCTGAGTTGCAGTACAGTCATTCGCGGCACCAATCTGGTTCCAGGAGCCTTTAGTGTGGCTGGGATGGCTTCTAGTAGGTCTCCTGCCAGGAGAAACAGGGGTATGTCTGCTAATGCTGCTACCACGAGCAGTACTAGTGCTGGTGGGACTGTGGTAGGACACAGTCAACTCGAAATTGATCCTCTCCACGCCGAGTTGGTGCCAGAAGAAGCGGAAACCATGAGGGATCCTTCCCAGTCTTCCGCAGTGGAACTTTCGCCCGTCATTGAAGGTACAGCTGTCGAGGGCAATCCAAAGTCCTCAAAACCATTCCATGTCTTGTCCACCATGGGTATCCTTTTGATGGTTATGATTATTCTAATCATGTCCTTGGGTTTGAGTGGCTTCTTTTCTTCTACTACAAGTGTTACCACCTCCAGTGAGCACCAGCAGCAAGAAGAGGAAGAGGACACTGAGAATAGCATTGGTTCCTCCTCCACCGTGCCACTGATTGATGAGGCCAAACTGTCCAAGTTGGAGGAGATTCGAGAACGTGGGATTCTCTGGGCTGGATTTATGCTCCCGGAGAGCGACGGCTTGATGGCCTCCATGGTGGGTTCAGTGATGCATAACTTCAGGTGGAAGAATTGTACGTTTTGCTATCTTTCTAACTACTCTCTTTAACTACTGTTTTACAGCTTCGAGCCATTGCGAAAGGCATTATCGGACCGGAAGGCGAGATTGAACTTGTAGACACACTAATTCCAGATATGTTCTCGAAGATTATCAATGGCACTATCGATGTCATCTTGTTTGGAGCAACCCATACAATGGATCGGGATGTATACATGGTAGGTGCAATGGCTAGCAGATTCTTTTGTGGTGGTTTAGGTGTGTTCTCTAACCCACCAATTCTCCCTTGTCCTTTCCAAAGGAATCCACCCAAACTACAGTGTCGTTCTCTATTCCGTACAACTACGAGGGACTTCGCATTGGAGGTGTCCCAGAGTACGTCAAATGTGTAGACCAGAACTTTAAGCACATTGACGAGTGTGAAGATTTGAAGGTTTGCGTCACAGCAGAAACAACCTACCGCGAAGTCATTACCAAATACTTGCCACAACGGCGCATGGTGGAAAAAAATTGGATCGATGGTGGAGTTTTTGCAGGTTTCCTCAATGGAGAATGCAATGTGATTGCGGAAATGGGTTTACATCTGGCCGGTGGCAGCATTACTTTGAATGGCACTCAATCTGAAGGAGAGTTTGCCTTGAGTGAGAACTACTTGTCCAATTCCCCACAAGCTGTTGTGACTGCCAACAACGAACCCGAGTTGGTGGATATTATCAATGCCATTCTCTGGAGTCTCTTGGTGGCTGAAAGAGAGAATATCACCCAAGCCACTGCTGAATCATTCCCACAAACAACACTCTTTGGGGAGGATCACAAAGACATGTTCCGGGATGCCATTGCAGTCCATGGGAACTTTGGAGAGATTTTCGAGGCAACCTGGGGGACCTTTATTCCCCGAAGTGCTCTCAATTTTATTAACATGGGTGATGCTAATACTACTACTGGCCTGTTGTACTCCCATCCATTTGGAGAAATTGGCAGCGTCCGAGACGACAATGTACCGTTGGGAGCTACGCTCACAGGTATCCTCCAACGAGGAAAGCTACGTTGTGGCATTCATGTTGGCAGACCAGGATTTGCCACCAGAGTAGAGGAGGAAGCAGGTTATTCTGGAATGGATGTGGACTTCTGCAAGGCGATGTCTACCAGTCTTTTTTTAGGCGACGCAGAGGCAGTGGAATTTGTGGAGGTGGAAGAGGATAGTGATGGCTACATGCTGTTGTTGGCAGGTACCATTGATGTCCTGGCAGGTGCAACTTGGACTCTCCAGAATGATGTGATGGAACCCAACACCCAGCAAGGCTACACATTCTCTCAGCCATACTTTTATGGCTTCAGTTCAGACCATGACAATTTCTGCCTGGCCACTCGGCAGGGTGAAGATGAAGACTGGAGTCGGTTAGTGTATTGGGTGATATCCGCCTCTATATTTGCGGAAGAAGAAGGCATTGATTCGGCGTCATCCCATCAAATGCCAGAAGTCTTTGTGTATGGGCCGGCTATGAAACGAATGTTTCGAGACATTGTTCTCCAATTCGGCAACTATGCGGATATGTATGGGAGGAATTTGGAGGCTCTCTACCCCCGGAGCGGAAGGAATCAAGTGAACGGATTCCCTAACACGGGTCCTCAGCATTATCTCATTCCAGGGTTCATGTGAACCAACAACAACAACCTCGATATTTAGTTCCAGGTTTGTTTGAATCAATCCTGGACCGTCCGACGGTTTTCGCTCAGGCTTTAAAACCTGCCACGACTGGTTATCGTTTTTAAGGGCATGTTAAGGGCATGTTTATTTTAAGGGCATGTTTAAGGGCATGTTGCCGATTTAAGGGCATGTTTTAAGGGCATGTTTATTTAAGGGCATGTTCATTCGTGATAAGGGCATGTTCTATGGTGTTTCAATGAAGGCTTAAGGGCATGTTTTGAGGCATTAGGGGCATGTTTTAAGGGCATGTTTATTTAAGGGCATGTTTAAGGGCATGTTGAAGATTTAAGGGATGTTTAAGGGCATGAAATAAACCGTCATCAGTCGTGGGAATTTCAAGTTTGTTTTAAATCCTGAGTGAAAACCGTCGGACGGTCCTGAGGAACATAATCACTCAATGCAACTAGCTCTGGCACGGACCTTCACTGTATGAGTTGCACTTTGATCGAAATTATGTATATGTAACAACCTTTTGTAATCTAGAGGTATCTCTTTCTCAAAGATTTGGTTTTATAGAGTGATCTGGGTATTAAGACCTGCAGTGCATTAAAAAGGCCGGCTTAATATTCTTGGGATTGTACAGTAATTTCTATAGTACCTACTACTAAGACCTGCCCTAGTAGCTGCTAGTAGCTACCGCTGCTTGAGTACGGTACATGTAGGATTGGATCATGCTGTTGCCTCACTACAGGCATTCACTCTTGGGTACAGAATTAAAGTGTGTTTTGCACGGGAATTTTGGGACAACACCGATTTACTATACCAAAAACAGTATACTCTGAAATGCCTTCAGTGTCCCATTGGGATATTGAGTAGAGTGACCTAGAAAGTTTCCGTGCACAACTATATCCTAATCTCAAGAGAAGTAGAAGAAAGGCATTAACATGTAAAGAATACCTTGGTTTTGATTTGCTAAGAGCCTGGTTGAGTGTTATGTTCTATGATGCAAATTGCCTCCAAAACCCCGTTTGCTCTTAAGTAATTTATTCATTTGGGACAATCCATACAGCTTTTAAAAAATAGTTAAAAACGATTTTCAACAAATTTACACGGGATAAAACACGGTCCCATCAAAAACCCTCTTTAATCTCGTACCTGGTAGCCACTCTTCAGTGCTGCCCGGTGGCTGTGTAGATGCATGCACATGTTGAGGTAGTGCAGTAGGAGTGTGGAGTGTCGATATAGGAAGGAGTGTCGATAGAGTAGAGGTACCTCCTGATACCAGGACCTCTGTGGAAACTTGAGTCGTGCTACCGATCGTCTCCTAAATCCTTTTGATCGTCTCCTATTTAATGGATTTCGTCTCCTAAAAATAGGAGACGAAACGGATCGTCTCTTAAATCTTTCGTCTCCTCTTAAATCGTCTCCTATTTTCAACGGATCGTCTCCTATTCTCAACGGATCGTCTCCTAAGTGCACCATGTAAACTGTATGGTATCTAATCCTATACATTTCGGATCGTCTCCTATTTCGAAACGATCGTCTCCTAAATGGAATGTCTCCTAATGAATCGTCTCCTAAATATAGGAGACGATTGCTTTCGTCTCTTAAATCATTTCGATCATCTCCTAAGCCTCAGTGTATCGTCTCTTAAGTAATTTGCCACGAATGGCGTTTCCAAAAAAAATAACGAAGTTTTATTATTTAGGCTGCACCTCAATAGACCACCCGCTGAACGGAGCCATATTGAACCGGAGTACCTCAGACGTACAAGGACGCCCACATAGGAACCGGCCTAGTGCAAGCCCCCCACCGGAGAAGTTTAAAAACTCCGAAGGGTGCTTTGCAGCTAACTAACTACCCCTGGCTGGATT